GTAGGATGCAGGGAGAGCTATTGCAAAACCTTCTTGTTCATGTCTGTTGGTGGCCATGTGTTTCCTTCTTTCTTTTCCATTCTGCCTGCTGTTCCAGGCCAGGGAACTGATCTAAACCAAAAATGTAGCTTAAAAAAGCCCCCTGGACAACCCACAGGCACTACTGCGAGAGCCAGGGAGAGAATGAGGAGGGGACAGGAATTTTAATCAGAGGAGAAAGCTGCCTTTCAGTGGCAGCTCACATTTGAATTTACTCTATGTGGTCATAAAAACCTCAGGCTAAACTTTTCATGTAGACTAGGGTATCTTAATTGTAGAACGTTCAGTATTTATTAACAGTAGAGAAACACTTTACACTGATAATAGTGGATGTCAGTGACTGCTTTCTGCAGCAGTATTGCCAAAAATGTTGTTTAATGGAAAGAAGTATCTGGTTAAGGTCATGTAGTACAATGAAATAGGAAAAAAATTAGGTACAGCAGGGATGATGACATTCTGCCCATAGCTGATGATTTAAAATGAGATAACCTTTTGTGTCTCTTGATGTTGAAGATGTTAATGACCAGTTTGAGTGATTGAACTTTGCATCAGCCATTTTCTAGTTAAGATATTTATTAAAAGGGATTGAAAATATTAAACAAGGAAATTATATTTAAGGACCAGACACTGCACAATTAAAGTCGTGACAATTAACTTTTTACTAACACATTTTTTAATTAAATGCCACCTCAGGCTGTGAAGTGTGAGACTCTAAGCACCAAAATGTTTTCCAAGGTAGTCTGTGCTAACCAGAAGTAAGCAAAGTGGAGAAGAGGCAGCAATCACAGTCCCGGTGTATCCGCTATTATTGCAGTGTGACTGAAGAGTAAGTTCCTCGTTTGCAGAAAGTGCCACTGTGATGTTTACCCTACTTAGGAAATCGAATATAGAGAAAGATCTTCTTTAAAAGTGGTGTTGTTTTTAGTTCTTTGCCTTATTTTAGTGTCCTGGTTATAGCAGAATTTATACTGAAAAAGCTTGCTTACATGGGAATTGCACTTTGTGCGCTGGCATTGCATGTTTTCTTTGCTCATTAAAGTTATTCTTTAAAGCTCTACATTTCTAATATAAAGTTTTTTTTTTATAATATTATGGATTGTTCTTAAGGAAAACATTAATAAAAAGCACCAAATGAACTATTTTAACACTACCAATGAACAATGAATATTTTTTTCTCAATTCTGTTTACATTTGTCTTTATGACTATGCTATCTTAACTATTTTTCATGTCCTCCTTTTCATAGGATGTTAATCTACATTGGTTTTGTAGCTTGGCTAGTTATCTTTTGCTAATTCTGAATATAATCTGTATGTTCAGATTCTGTTTAGTATTCTTCCTCTAAGCATATGCTTTGTGTTTTTAGCCTGACAGTGTTTCTGTTAAGCTGCTATCTCTGTTAGAAATTGTCTTTTGAGATGTAAGTACGTTCTTGGGTAGCTTGTTTTATGGCAAAGCAATGTGGTTGCTATATTCTTGTCATCTTCTTAGATTCTGTTTAAACCTTGTTAGTAAAAATGGATTGGTGCTGTGATTATTTACTGGTTCAGGTGACTGCTTGTGATGTGTGCTGGCTTTTGGTTCTGTGCTGCTGAGATCTCTCTGACTGTTGTATAGGTAAATATTGAGGCAAGGTGCCCAAATACCACTAATAAGAGGATGCTGGAAATCAGTTCTGAATCAGAGCTCAAACTCAAGTGTAAATGGTGAATCTGTGCTTATTTTAACAAAGAGAATGGTCAGATCTAGATAGCAGGAGAATAAACTAATTTGGGGGGAGGAGGGGAATATGATGATTAAATTTTGCTGGGGGATTTAAAAAGGGAAATTTGGCTGAATGCTCCTGCTTAGGTAGCTTGAGGAAACCCTCTTTAGTGGTTGCAGCCTTGGGCAAAAGATGCTCAGGGTGGCTGAGTGAATCAGCTGGGTAAAGGATGGGGAAGCCCTTTCTGATTCAGTCTTTGCACATGTTGTTTTAGGATAGATTTTCTATTTCTTCACCCTGTCTTTTAGAAACACTGGTAGTCATGTTGTCTATTCCACAGTTTGTGAATAAATGTGGTATGTTGGTGTTTTTCCTTCTTGCATTGTATTTTATCTTGCTTTGACTTCAGATCGCTTCAAGATAATAAGCTTTGCCTGAAGATACAAGAAATGTGTAGTCAGTGTGCTGAGAAAACCTTGGCAAGGGCTGTGATTCCTTTGTGAAGTCTTTAGGCTCTCCAAAGGGAAGCCGGATCTATAGCACAGTCCAAGTGAAGCTTTGTCCTTAGCATTGGGTTAGAAAGGCATGTGTTTTGCTAACCAGAATGGTCCCCTGGTGTGCAGCAAGTGTCTGAACCCTGAAAGCTCCCGAGTTGTTTGTCACAGCCAGTCACTGTGAAATCTTGGTCCTGAAGCTCTTTTTTGGAGGTAACTCTGTACTTGCCTTTAGTTTGTAAATTATCTTTTGAGGAAAACACACTTTAACAAAATTCTTTGAAGATTCCTGTATAGAAGGTGACCTTACACTGTTCTCCTAATATCCTGTTACCATTTGGAAGTGCAAATGCCTACTTAGACCTTCAAATGACATTGAATGGTCAAGTTTTTCACTGGTTTCATAAGCTGTGTATGAAAGCTAGATGGTGTAAATGGCTTTATTTTCAAAAAGCTAAGTCCCATTTTGGAGCCGTCATCTAAATCTCTTGGATCTAGTATGCTTCATAAACTGTTAACCCAAATTAGTGCATGTTTCCTTTATGAAAGACCAAAGCACAACTCTCTTGACAGTTCCAGACAGACCATACTATGCTTATAAAGCAAGTTATAAACTGTGAGCTCAGTGAGAAAATAAAAGTTCCTCAGGGAAAGGCTTTTCATCAGCATATCTGCAAACGTTTGACACTAACAATTTGATTACAGCTTTGTTGGTGAGAATCCACCACACAGCACTGGTAACTTGAAGGACACTGAAGTAACAGTCACCAGTTGCAGGTGGAACTTGGTCTTTGGCTGTGTTTGCGACTGGGCTGAAACAAAGCAAATTGCATGTATTTGAATATTCAAACCTTCTGCTTGTTACTGCATCCTGGGTACAGATTTGGTTCAAATTCCTCATGAGGCTGTACAGAGCTTGGGAATTAACATAGTGGTGTGCTTATAATTTAGGTGGGTGCAACTTCTTGGGTTGAATTGCAGGGTTCTGCTGTGTTCAAAGGAAGGGGAGAAGATGATGAACAGCTCCCTCTGCCATGGAAGTACAATCTAAAAGGGAAAGCCAACCAAGCATCACAGCTTGTCTTTGATGGTGTCTGTTGTTAACATAGCCAAGGACTACAGACATGTTTTCTTCAGCATTTAACTTTCAAGATGAAGGCACACATCCTCTTTTTCCTCCATCTCTGCAGCTGTTACCACTTCGCTGAGGATCTGTCACATATTTAGCTTAGTTCAAGAAGGTCAAAAGCAAACTGGTTTAGAAAGTGATTGCATCTACAACAGGAAACAATTAAGCTTACTTCTGAGACAACAGAACACTCAAATTAACATGAGGTAGTTATTTTAAATGTATAATATGTGGTTTAGGGATTAATATTCTTAATCTCTCTGAAAAAATAATTAAAAGAGGTTCATTAGTTTTAACAAGCTCAATGCTAACATCTATTCAACTGTAATTATTATGTGAATTACTTTAAAGTGAACTTTTCATGACTCTAATGGTAAGTGTTCTACTGAAAAGCTGTTTCACTGACTTCAGGAAGGGTGTTTGTCGAAGTGACAGATGTGAGTTGGCCTGGAGCATTTTACTAAGCTTCAAAATTCTACAATTAGACATAAACATCTATTTCCTATTCTGTGTGACCATTGCCTACAATAAAAACTCCAAACCAAACAACCCTGTACGAAATTTCCTTTTGCATCTCTTGATCTTTCACATTCCCCTTCTCTTTTTTCTTTTCTTTTGTAATGAAGCTCAGGAAAGGGACAGCTTTACAGTGTGAAGATGGGACAAAGAAAGTGTGTTTAGTGGATGAGATGAGGCATGTGCAGGCAGAAGCCCTTTGGACACTGGATCCAAAGTACTGGAAAATGTTTGGCTCGTTATTTTCCTTGAGGTTGCAATTGCTTCAGTGACTTTGCTATCTTGGCTGTTGTTCTGTGCTGTAGGGAGAAAAATTGTCTGTAAATTACTTAAAATTGTGAGTTCTTTCAAGTCCCAAGCTGGCTACTAATGCATAAGTGTATCTTTCTGTTATGATTTATTTGTTTTCTGTTGTTCCAGCTTTGTCTCCAGTTTTACTTAGAAGTGCCAAAAAGGCCCCTTTCTTCTGTCTGAAGTGATGACGATGAGACTTTTAGTTTTTTTAAGCTATGGCAGCAGCTGGAAGTATTTTAAGTAAGGTGCAGCTAAGTGTGATATGATAAAATTGAGGAGGGGAAAAAAACAGGGGAAAACAACAGAAGTCTTACTCCGGTTTAGAGAACTGATTGGTTGGTTGATTTGAAAAGCTCTCCAGCTAGAACATATGCATTCTTACTGCAGAATATTCTTGACCTGTTAGTTTCTGTAGGAGGGCCCTTGGGACTCTCCACCCCCTTAGTCCTTTTGAAGTTCTTGGTTTTAGAAAAAGCTTTGGGGAGGCAAGTCTTTATTTTCAAAGTTACTGTTTTGTCTGTATTTTTCTTTACAATCTAGATTACTGTTGGTTTACCATCACGATTTGCAAATCTCTGTCAGCACTTCTCAAGCCCGGGCTTCAGTGGCAGCGCTGACTCAGCAGTAGCAGTCTCCATACCACTTGCATGCTCTTTGGCCTCTGATTTAACTTTATTCATGCCCAGAAATGTAAAGCAAAATATCCCACAATCTGTTGGAGAGGAGAGCTGGTCTAGAAATCATACTACGCCCATATGTTACTACTTTTTTTCCCATTCAGAAAATTAAAACCTATATAAATACCAATTTTTTCGCTCCTTTCAGATACTAACATTTGAGACCAAGAACCCGACGGAGCTGGCTGAGCGCTTGCGGTCGGTGTGTGGAAACCAGAGCAATGCTTATGCTCGGCTGCTGGAATACCGCCTGAATGCCCTGCGTGGACTCTGGAATGCCCAGCGCCAGCTCGCCTTGGAAGAGCAGCATGACCGGGAGAGCTCAGGGGATGAAGAAGCTCTGGCCTTGCTCAAGCGGCAAGGCTTGTTACAACAGCCTGAACAGGCACCGTTTACTTCACGGATGGGGCTTCTGTTGGTCTTTCCCCTCATTCAGTCTCAAAGTAGAACAGACCCTTCTCTCTGTAACATAACTGCTGAGGTGCTGTTGAATTGCCTTCGAGACTGCCAGCCTTTGAGTTTGACTAAGGAACCAGCTGACTGTCTTAACGGGATAGAGTCTTTGCTGTGCTCCTGGCTGGAAGACACTTCTGCTTCAGGCCAACAGATTCCATATAAGCAAAAAGAAAACGCTGCTGCTGCCCTAGTTGCCTTGGCTTGTGCAAGGTAAGGAAGCTGTACTGATGTGACGTGGTGTGGGTGGTGCTGTTAGTAAGTGGTTATGTTTAACCATAAGAACCAAATATGATGTGACCACACCGCTGATACTAGTTTTTGTTTTTTCACTAGTCTTTGTCTTTCTAATATTTAGATTTTGATTTGGAAGGGGTGGAACTGATAAGCTAAGCATTGTGGGTTTTAGGGTTTTTTTTTGGCATGTGTCTAGCATGTGTAAAACCAGAATTATCTAGATTGGGAATGCCTCTTGTGCATATTACTGCCTCTACTGCAGTGATCTGTTCTAGGAATGGTTCCAAATGTTTTTATCATGGAGGAAAATCACCCCATTTTTCCCTTTGTACTGCCCCATTAATCCTGTAGCTTTTTCACCTTCATTGGGCTGTAGAAGACATTCCTGCCAAGTTTCAGGGTAATTAGGTTCAGATTTGATTTCAGTCTTGCCTATTAAACATCTGGAGGCCTTTTTCCATTTTGTTGCCGGGGAAGAGTTTGACCAGCATAGGTTGAACAATGCTGTGTGCCCTGCATGGGTTTAGCACAGCATCAGGTTATTGAGGATGAAGTAGCTGTAATTGCTTTTAATAAAAGCTTACTCTTTTTAGGGGATGGGGCTTGGGGAGAGGAGGAGGAATACACAAAACTTAGCTCTGAAAACTCTATGAATGTGAGTCTAAAATCACTAGTAGCCTTTTGAAAATCCAGCTTTAATGTTTCTTAGATTGCAGCCTTGTCTGTCAAGTTTAACTCTGATTTAAGATGTTGAAGTTCTCAGGAGATGTCATGATTTGCTTTAGAAATGGGTTTATTCAAATGTAAAACACTCAATTTCTAGTGTGCTTGTTCTAATGAAGTCGATGAGAAATCTACAGTTCGTGGCAAACTCTTCTGCATTGACAACTGCCTTATCTAAGAGGCAATGTACTTGAACATAGCTCAGATAAATTGGATTCGATAAACACAATCTCATTAATTTTTTCCCCAGATGCCAATTTTTAGGAAGTATGGGATGTTCTTTTGCAGCTGAATCTGTAAAAGAGCTAAATTTCAAATAGAGCTTTTGAAATGAAGGTTGATCTTATATTTTCTTTGGAAATCTGTCTTGCATTGCTTACAGAATTGTAATATTCCGATGTGCTCTGTTCACCTTTGAAAGCTTTGAATTTTTCTTTTAAATATGTAAGTCATGTTGGGTACCATTATAAAGAAAAAAGCCTGCAAAATGAGACTATTATTGAGATTCGTATTTGCAATCTTGGGTGCTTCATATTCCTAAGAATAAAACAAGAGGGTAAATATTGCTTTAAATAATTTATTGATGTGCTTGAATGTCTTCAGTGTTACTTTTCTCTGGGATGAGGTTTATCAGTGAAAGCATACAGCTGAAAACGGCAGTGGAAAAAAAGGGTTCGGGGCATGAAGGAGGAATGTTAAGGAGCTAAGACTGGCCATGTGTGACAGCAAGCAAAAGGCTGTATTCAGCAGAGTGCGTGGAAAAGATCCTTTCAATTGATCAGTCATGCTTCTGAAGAAACCGATTCATAACTGACTACTGTCACGCCTAAGATGCAGTCAAGGTTCTCTTACTCAGTTAGGCTATTATGCCTGGAAATAACACCACCACGTCTTTCAGAGAATGACTTCTTCCTAATACCCTGACCTTTGGAACAGAAACTGTGAAAGATTTTTTGAAGACCTCTACCTCTCTTTATTTCTAATAAAAACCCCAGTCATCTTCCACTGTATTAACATACAGATTTCACAGGTTTGCCAAAAAAAGTGTTCAACTTAATGAATGAAGAAGAATTCTAATTAGAGTTACAAACTCCATATGTTTGTGAATGCCACAATAAAATTTTAAAGCAACACACTTCTCGGCAAGATTAGGAACAACTTCTACTTGGATTTAATGTTGGTTTTGGAAGTATCTAGTCTTACATACTTACAACGTACCTTATATGCATTTAAATATATCACTTCAGAAGGGAAAAGCTTCCAAATACATGTTTGGAAGCAAAAGGAATCAGAAGCTTGCTAATCAATTAATTAGTCTGGTCTTTTCTATTTTAGTCAAGAAAGCTGTTCTCTGGCTATATCTGCAGCAGCTCTTACTAACATTTTGGCTCAGCCCCAGGAAGACCTGCAGATTGTATTTGGAGATCTAAATACATTTAATCAGCTCCAAGAAATACTGGAAGTAGCTGTCTGTAATAGAGGCAAGGTTTTGAGGTATTTTATCATGTGCCCACATTGCCTTCGCCCTACATGTTATTTATGACACAGCCTATGGTTGCTTGCTCTCCCTACTCACACAGTGCTTCTCCCTCTTCTGAAAAGACAACATGATTTAGACAAGCAATTCACCAACATTCTTCCTTTGTGTTACCCTCTCTTCCTCTTTTCACTTCCTCTATAAAAGAATGAAAATCATCCAGAAAAGAAATGCAAATTAGGAAAGAAGCTTGATGACATATCTTGGATGTTCTCTCCTTATGGTACTGGATATGATATTCTACATAGATGCTGTTGTCTGTGTGCATTCAGTCTTGTTTCAATAGACATCTTTAATTCATGTTTTTCTTATCCTTTTAGAGGGTCGCTGAAAACCTTTGTTCACACAGTGCATCTATTACAGAAACAGACTGATCTGGGATCCTTGCCTGTGGCTGATGTATTATACAGGTTTGTAGCAACTTTTCAAACTGTAGCACTTTTACATCAGGTGTGAAAATGTGAGCGCATTTACAGATGAATGTCTTTTCAATGTGATTAAAAGGCCTTAGAGTTATTGAGAGCTCTAGGAAAGGTCAAAATTTAGTCCATTGCAGAAGGACATTAGGAAGTCAAATCTAAAAGTATCTACTAATTGTTTCTTGGGTGTTCTTATTTTTTAATCAAATACTGATGATTCCTTTAAATGAACTCTGACAGAGTAATTGCTCGAAATATATCTTCATCTTAATTTTTGATTTAGCCAATCTTTGCTATCACTGTTCTCTATGCATCTTATTTTATTTTCTGCTTAAAGGTTGTTGCTTTTGGAGGGAGGACCTGGATCACCCTCTTGTTTGCTTGGTGGGAAGCATATTGTGTCTTGGGGCTTTGAAGACATGTTACCTGCACCCGATGCCAACAGTAGTTCCAGCAGTGAAAGTAAAGGTGAATTACTCCATCACTATCAATATTAGCAGGAGAGGTCAAGATGCTTTTAGTGGGGATATTTGTTTAAAAATTAATGTAAAGCTTTAGAATTGGAAAAGGATTTCTCCTTTCCTGTTGGATGTAAAAGCAAGTGTAGCACAGAGCAAATAACTGAAAGCTGAAGGTTTAGAAGTACCATCTTTAGGGAGAACTGGACATCACAGGCATGTTGATACCTTGAAGCCTGATATATAATGAGAAGGGAGAGCAGCAACTGCCTAAGAAAGAGTTTGTTGTCTTAGTCTGCACATTCAGAACTGAAGCTTTGAAAACGTGGACCCAGTTAATAGTTGGATTAAATAGTTTGGTTTGCCATACCCGTTCTCAGTCACTTAGATTATTATATCCAGTTAGGATATGTGAATGATTGGCTTGCTTTTGAAAGTTCATTTGGGGATCAGCTAGAAAAAAATACCCTGGTTTGTATTAAAATAAAGAGGCTAAATCTCAAGTCTAGTGTGTCAGTGATAATATGGTGTAATGTTTCGGGTTTTTAATTACAAGATAATGGGGTTCTGAAAGCGTTGCTGTTTGTTTGCTGAAGGTCAGGTGCTATGTTAAGTTGTCCAGTAATCAGGCTGGAAGAAACAATCAAAAGCTGTAGGTACAGTCACCCTGTACAGTCACTCCTTCAGGGGGAGTTTTGCAGAGGTCAGACTGAGTTTGGGTATTACCCACCCATTAGTCCCTCAGTAAGTAATTTCTTTGTCCTGTGCTGTATTGAGTAGCTGGTTATCATTGAAAATTAAGAAAGTTCACATTACTATAAACGTATTAGTTCAAGCTTTGATGTCATCTCATAAAGTTTAATGCAAGCCATAGGAATTTACAAGTCTGAGCTGTCATTTTAGGCTATTTACAAATTTATTGTTGACATCTATGTTTTGAAGATGCTTTCTTGCTGTGAGAGCGACAAGATCGTTTTTGCTTTCCCTGTTGGCTGTTCAGGTTTCATGAACTTAAATAGGTCAACTGGACTTGAGTCCCATCTTGGTTGTTATTAATTACTCTGTGAGCAACAAACCTATGTTTCAAATACTGTTTGTCTTAATTTACCAGTGTTCAGAGATGGAAGGGTCTGCTTTAAGAAAAGCAGAGTTGTACCAGAAATTAGATCAAGGCTCAATATTAGGTTATTCCTTCCTCACAGTGTGTTCTACCAGCAGCCCCAAGCAGGAGGGCTTGCGCAGTCAGAAGTCTTGCTTGTATTTCATCTTGCTGCCAGTTCTGAGTTCTGAACAGCATTACCTGTTACAAAAGCAGAAGATAATTGTCTTCTGCTCCTTTGCATCATCCTGAAGTCATTTAATAGCAAATGCTTAAGTTGCTTCCGATTTAAGTGAAGGAATTTTCCACCTGAAATTACTTTATTTGAGCAGTCCTGTGTTCCTGAGCATGGTTGGGTGTCATAGTCAGTTCCTACTGTAGTTACAGTTTAGAATAGTGTGCAGTAAAAACAAGTTCAAACTCAGTGGTTTTTTTTTACAGCAGCTTGGGCTGTAATACTCAAAGATGGGTCTTTAATAGTGAAATGAGAACACAACACAGGAAAAATAAATTATTTAGAAATGGGTGATGTATATTTGAATCATGATAAAGCAGAGCTAATGTCATTTATTATCTCAAAATGAAGCTGGGTGACTAGCATCTACTTCTTAAGTTTATTTGGCAACAGTAAGAGATTTAAATAGCTCCAGTATTTGTGTGAGTGAGGCGTAATCTTGGGCATCCCTGCAAGGCTTGAAAGAAATGTACAGAAATACTGTAAAAAGGATGGACTTTGACTCTTAGTTCACAAATAGCTCTTGAAACATGGAATAATAAATTCAGTATTAAAGAAATGGCTCTGACCCCTTGGTAATGACCTGTCAGGAGCATCTGCTGGGTTTCAGTTGCTGTGGAAGCTGCTGCAGCAGCGTAATGACCATGGCGAATTCCTTGTCCTGTGTGTTACAGTGATGGTCTCGCTCTGTTCTTTCTCCCCAATTCAGATGCAGACTTAGGGCGCTGTCTTGCAGCAGATGGGCTCTATCTTTACACAACTAATTCAGTGGGCAGAGGAATAAGCAAATTAGGATCTGGATTACATGGTACTTTGCGGTAAGTTGCAGTTGAGTATTTACTGTTCTGCAGTTATTGTTTTAGGAAACCTCATGTTAGATGTAACAAGTCTGGGGCATGTTATGCATTTGCATTAAATCCTATTTTAATGTTTGGTTTTCTCATCCGAAGTTCTTCTTGAGTATGTTTTCTCTAGAACTACAGAATAAATCGGGTTGAAAGGGATGTCTGGAGGCCTTTTAATCCAACCTCCTGTGAAGAAGTGCATTAGCTGAATAGCTACTATGTAGCACCAGGACACTAGTATTTTAGATTTCAGGTTTTTTAATGTACATGGGTTTGCTCTTTGCTGAGAGGGTTATACTATAGCCTACTTTAATGACCTTTTTATTTATAGTTGTACAATTGCTGAATTTGTAAGTATTTGTTTTCTAATTATGTCATTCATTATATTAATGATTAGTGCAGATGTGACTCACTGAACCTTCTTGCTTCTTTATTGCTTGGAAGTCATGAGGCTTTCATATGCCTCAAGTCTTTTACAACAGAAATTACTGCCTTATGCCGACTTGAATTCAAGTTCAGTCAAAGTTCAAGAATGTGGTTGTGAGTTGTTCTTGGAAAGCAAAAAAACCAGCACAGGGTTTTGAAGGGTTTTAATATCCTACTTTTTTTGCCAGAGGTTTTGTGTACTGCCGTAATGAGGAGCTGGAGAGCGGGTGGGTTGCTTTTGGCAGCAGCAAACTTCTTCATCGGCCCGTCTCTTTTGATAATAAGCCTCACTCCCTTTTCCAGGTTGTGGACCAGCATACCCTTCAGGTAAAAGGAACAGTTCATTGCAGAGTTAGAGTGACAAAGCATTCTTAATGAGTCACAGTCATTTCTAGCTTTAATTAATTTTGTCCTTGAAGTTTCTTCTTTTTACTTTGTGAAACTGCCTTTTTGCAAGTCCCCATTGAAAGTGTTGCATGATAGAACTTTTAAATTGTTACAGACATTACTCTGTTTCCGTGTGTTAATATGTGTATATATATATGTGCTTGCACACATGTATGTATATGGGTATACAGACTTATACTGTACTGTGTTAAGATAATGCTGTAAGAGGTAGAATATCATATGGTCACATTATAAAACAGTCAAAACAGTAGCAAAATGGACATTGATTTGAGCTGAAAACATGATCTTCCTGAACAGCTCATTATTCTTCTACTGTAACAGACTTCAGATATTGTTTCTGATCTGATTGTGTTTTGTGGATAAACAGCTGTCATCCTTTGTAAAAATGTATAGTTTGGGGTTTTTTCCTGCCATGGTTTTAAGACTGGATATGCGCGTTATTGTGTGTTTCCTGATACTGAGAATGTTTGGATTCCCCTTTTCTTTCAGTTCCAAGCAATGTTTCAGAGAAGTTGCAGAAAGTAGATAACTGTTTAGCATGTAGATTTTCCATATAGTACTGTAGGTAATGCTGTCATTAGCAAAGAGATGATCCTTTTACTTTTAGATATGTTAAATATTTAGATGTATAAGCTGGTTTTTATGCAGTAGATCCATTTGGCAAACATTATAGCATAGCTCTTTGTAACATACATGCAGTAGTACTAGTCCAATAATTAGCCTCTTCTGGACTAACTGCACTTGATCTTGATTGATTTATTTATTTTCAAGTACATTATTAATACTTCCAAGAACAAGCTTCACCATAAGAACCGTTAAGATGCTCTCTGTCTCGTAGGTCTGTCAAATAATCCCAATGCCAGTAAATCACTTCCCAGTTGGCAGCACTATGACAACCGTGCATCTTTCTTCAGATGGCACCTATTTCTACTGGATTTGGTCTCCTGCAAGCCTCAATGAAAAAACACCAAAAGGCCACTCTGTCTTTATGGATATTTTTGAACTAATAGTAAGTAAATTATGTGTTTTCCCTGACTCTGGAGTCAGTCGCATCACTCCTGCTTGATCCAGTATCATTGTTTTCAAAGCAATTTATTAGGTTTGAATATTGATATGTGTGATCTGGATAGCTGTAATGTGGTTTACAAAACAAGTTTTAACTGAACAGAAGGTGTATTGTTCAATTATGTCTTCAGAGGATATATAGCTACCATATTTAGCAATATGAACTGTAATATAAAATGTATTTTATTATTATTAGCAATTGAGTTTTATGCTGGGGTAGTAATTCAGTGTATTTGGATTTAAAGCATTGTTTATTGTGGATCTGCTTCATTGTGATAAAAGCTAATCAGGCCCAGCAAGTTACAAATACAGTTGTTTTCTTTACACTGCATTTTATAGCTTAATATGGTCTTTTATGTTGTATGACGGTCATTGGGTTTAGTGTACAACCAAATGCAGTTCAAAATACTAAGTCTGGAGAAGTGTATCAATAGTTTGAACTCCCTTTTCTCTCGTCAGCTTAAGTATGTGTATATTTGCACATACGTACATGCATTTGTATATGTTTTATTTGACAACGAAGCATCATCATCATGTGGTCTAAGAAAATAATCAGTTATGGTTTTTGTCTGGCAAATGATGTCAAGGCCTTTTGCAAAACTTGCCAGTGAAACGTCACTAAGAAAATATAAAGGAGGGTTGAGTACTTTTAAGCAGAGTTCCATAAATAAACCTTAGATTATGACCAGCAGTTCTGTCTAAGGACAGACCAAATAGCAGACGCTCTATTGAACCACAGAGTTGCAAAGAACACATACTCATCTGTCTAGGTTTCATGACACCTTTTCTGCAAGAAATTTTGACAGCAGAGTTTAAGTTTCTATCCCTACTTGATATGTTGTTGTGTTCAGTTTTACTGTTAAGGTAGTTTATCTCCTATGGATTTCAGTATGTAAAAGTGTTTTTTCTCCATTTGAATAGGTAGAAAATGGCATATGTATAGCAAATCCTCTACAGGAACGAATTATATTAATGAGAAAAGAGGGTGAGTCTGCAAAGAGTATAAATGAGATGCTGCTGAGTAGGCTGTCGAGGTACAGAGCCTCCCCATCAGCAACACTGGCTGCTCTCACTGGCTCTACAATCTCCAATACATTGAAAGAGGACCAAGCAGGTCAGAAAAGGTTTTACTGACTCTCAATACCATTTCATGGTTTGTTTCTTAACATATAGTATTGGCTCAAATAGTACGTATTGCATATCTTAAGATATGTGATAAAAACTCTGCATTTTTTCCCAAAACAAGTGTTTGAAATACATAGTATTTGCTTAATGCTTGAATTACAGGTTCCTTTGCAGGAACCTGTAGGTATTGTAAGAAAAGTGTAAGAATGAAAACCAGGCAAAATGCTTGTAGCACTTTTCCCCATGTATTCAGTTACAGGACTGGTTTGTGCCACATTTGATCAAACTGGTATCAAACTGATAACTGCATTTATCTGCTGGCAGTTCAACTGGGTTTCTTATTGTTAGGTAAAAACAGACTGCAGTTTAGGAAATGAAACTGTTGTTTCACAAGGAAGTTGAGTGTTATAAATGGGAGGTAATTTTGCCTTTTTGAGGTAATTTGCACAATGTTTGGGTATTCTTTTATGAGCTCTCTGAAACTACGCAAGTTAATTAGGGAATCTTGAATGAACAGCATTGATGGTTTTCAGAATGATCTGCAGCTGCGTTAAGATTTGTCTCAAGATTTTATTCAGTTTATCCTGAATTACTTCTCTTCTTCCTTCATATGTACGAGTTTGCTTTCAGTTTCAAACAATTAAAGGTATTTCCATAGAAATAAATTATACAGGAAATAGATATGCTTACAGGGGAAACTGGCAAAGAATTAGCTTGAAGATCTATTTTAAAGGCTATGTTTTGCCAGATAACAACTAGAGTGCTACAGAAGAAGAAGAGTAAGTGGTTATTCTTGGCTAATTCTTTAGTCAGTGCTCAGAAGTGTTGATGGGCTGTCACAGGAGCTAGATCATTATGACTGTATATGTTTCATGTGGAGCAGGAGAACTTAAAATAGTAAATGCGTAGTGAATCTCAAATGCTCTCTCTATCTTAAAAGATTATTTAGCTCTAAGATGCTGCTTTCCATATGTTTATCATCACAGAATTCTGAAAACAATTTTGTTTATACTGAAACTTAGGTTTCTGAATTTTCCAGGTTTGGAAGCAAGAGCTTGCTGTCTTTTTAAATGTTTAAGCTGTTCTCTTTAGTTAAATAACCTGGCGAACTCTTTGTATCTTCCTGGGGATTGATGCTGAGTGTGTGGGATTGAGGCCACCCCTATATACAACCTCTTAAAGCAACTTCTAAATGCAGCAAAATTCAGCTTAAATGAATTTCCATATTGATTTATTTGAAGCCCTAAATAGAAACTGCTTTGTTTACTGCCCGTAGTTGTGATTTTTCTAATGTTATAAGGAAATACTGCATTGTTCTGTTGACTGTTTCAGCTGCAAACACTAGCTGTGGGCTGCCACTGAAGATGTTAAGGAAGACTCCAATATACACATGTGGGACATACTTGGTGATGCTGGTCCCACCCCCAGGTGGATCTGGCAGTTCAGCAACACGCTCACTTTTTGGAGGAACAAGTGCTTTATCATCCTTAAAAAGTAAGTGGGACCCATTTGTGGCAAGTTTTGAGTCCTTGCCTTTCTGGAATACAATAAACTTCTCAGGAGTTGATTGGAGACTCTGTTCTGTGTAGTTCTGGCCTCCAGCTTGGTGTTCAACATTTCGGATGGGCAGTTCACAAGCAGAGCAGATCTCATTGATGCTGCAGGAAGTTCACTTGGACGTGGTGCTCTAGTTCCAGGGCTTGGTAAGAAATAGATCTCTTTTCTAAGAATATTTCAGAACTAGACATATCCAGCCCTTAGACTGTAAATTGTGGGGTTTACTGAGCAGTAAGCAGCTTTGCACGTGGTGGGGTTGCATGTCTGTGGTGAAGTTTTGTAAATGCAACATTTTTGAGACTTCAGAACTCCCTGCAGGAGTTTCCAGTATCTTGCTTCTGCAGCTTCAGCTTCAGGCAAGCTCAAGAAAAGGGTTTTCTGCATCAGAAAAGAATCTTGAAAGAAGTCTGATTAATTTTTTTAATATCCTGCTTATGTTGTCAGGTGCTGCAAAGTTCTGGCTATCTTCTCTCTATATTTAAAAACACATAAATGTATCTTGGCTGGGAAGATGTTTGTCATGAGATAAATAGCTATAAAATTCTAAATGCTACGTATGGGTAGGTATAATTGTATGTTAACCTGTTGGCTGCTGATACTGGAGATTTACCTCAGTCATTTGAAACATGGAGAAATAGGTTAGTTTTGAACTTCTAAAGTATGGTAAATGGCCTCTGGCATGGAACAGTCCTGCCCATAATCCACTCATCCCTTTCCATGTACTGTTTTGGACTTGTAGGCTTTGAGCTTTTCCAGAGATGAGTCTCTAAGCATAAAACTTTGTTGGCAGCTGGACAATGTGAACTGTCAGTTTTATTAAAGCTGTTGTTTTTACCTCAAGGCCTTTAAAACAAGTTCTAAGGTGCTTAGATGTCAACGTAGTAAACCAAATGTTAAGCTTGCTTCTCTGTTTTTCTAGAAGTTACTGGTATCTGGTGCCAGACTCATCTACCTTTAGTTTGTACACTGTGGCAGTGTGTGATCAGTGGTGGAGGGATGGCATATGTTACGTGCTTATAACAAGCACTGGAATATTTACCTGAAGCAGATGCTGTTTTACCCTCGAAACATCAAAAGGGATGTGCATTTGCTTCATTCCTTTGTTAAGGAGTCTCTTTTTCACGTTTTTCATTCCAAAGCACTGTTACTAAATTGCTGTCATGACAGCAACTTCTAAAGCAAATATTTTGGCTTTCTATCTGCTATGAAAATAGCTTGGTTTTCTAACAAATGTTCTAAAACTTGACATGCAGAATATTTTCCTTTTCTCAGGTGCCTGTTATGATACTGTGAATAACATGATATGGACGTGCTCCAATGACTACATTGATCAGTGGTGTAATCCTGGGAACCAGGCATTCCACTGTGTCTGTCAGAGGCTGGGTGTGAGTCATGTCATTACAGAGCCCAAAGGTGAGTAAACCTACAGGTCAGGCTTTTATACCAAGTGGAATTGAAATGTGACATTATCATAGACTAAATATACAGAAACTGCTTTCTGAAACTTATTGTTAAAAGCTCTGAAAGTGTTTAGAAATATTGGTTGTGGTTTCTTTGCTTTAAGAAAGGAAAAAACAAAAAGCAAGTTGTGTTTGGAAGTTTCCAGATTTTGCTGCCTTTAGCACATTAAAAAAGTGGGCAGTTCCTTTGTTTGTCTTGTGGACGTGTGTCTTGGAGATGATGATGATGGTATATTGCATTGTAGAAGCAAATACTAATGCTATAGTCTGTGTTTGTAGACAGCATTTAAACAGTTTTTGTTCTTCTAGGGGATGCAACAAGCACAAATGAGGTTATTAACCAGTTACTGCACCATGTTGGTGCCATGTGTATCCATCAACTCAACCTGCTCGCAGCCAGCAACAATCTCCCCATAACAAATTTTTTGGGCAAGCAACATCCAATAGAAGCACATCACCTCAGCAGCATTTGTGACATTATGGAAAAAGCTATGGTCAATGGAGATACCTGTATAATACGCTGCATCCTTGTTGTCTTTCAGGTACAAAGGCAATTCAAATGTACTGCACAGCAGTTGAGGGGAGAAAAAGAGGTTGTTTAGAATACAGGCAGCCACTTGATTTTATTAGGGTTTCTTTTTAATTCATTCCATTCAATTGAATGGAGATTGACTTAGCAGTGGGTTTGCAGTATCTCATACACCCATCATCAGTTTCCAACTCTGATTTCTGGTGACCTGGACAGAAAAGGAATTCATACAGGCAATGTTTAAGGTTTTAATATAGTTGTGTTTAATCTTCCTTAGGTGGTTTTTAAGTTTTTCTTCAGCCCACAAACTGAAAGAAACAGAGATATTGTTAGAAGGTCTGGCCTGTTGCTCTGGCAGTTACTGATGGCACCACGGGATCAGATTTGCTCTGAAATCCAGAAGGAGGTTTGCCTAGCCATTAGGTAAATATCTGTTTTGTCAAATTAAACTCAGATTTTAGATTACTTGAAGATGCTGGAACAATGAACACTCAAATTGTATTCAGCAGTTTAATAGGATGAAATGAAGGTTGACATAGTCTGATAAAATTATTATGATTTTTATCTGTGGAAGAAGGGAAATACAATCTGTTTGTCATGATGACAGTGAAGTAACAGGTGCTAATTACTTTCCATTCTTCTCACTTCTTGTTTTTTAGTGTCTTTCTTTAGAGATTTTTTTAATGTTTAGTATAATTAATTGAAGCAAAGTGATGGCTAAGAATGACTTCCTTAGATAGCTCACATACTGTACTGGTGGTCAGGAATAGGCAAAGCTAATGTTGTCAGCTGCCGTACTGTGTTTCAAGGACAATACTAAAATTCTCCTAAACAAAAGGGAGTGTAAGAGGAAGCAGAATGAATAAATAGTACTTGAGGAATGCTGTAAGATTGAAGGCCCAGGGGAAAGCACAAGAATGTCTTGTCAAATTCAGGTCTATCTTTAGAAAACAGGAATCTGTTTAGGCAGAAGAGTGGGCATTATGTGTCTGGGCTGATACACCAGGTCGTCAAACACTTAAACAGACTGGTTGCTTTAGCTCCACATCGTATTAGCGACTACATCTCTTGAACCTGATGCTGTGTAATTTCCTTTCTCTGGCTTGTCAAAACAGCAGCATGACTAAGTACAGGGAAGCGAGCAAAAAGTGTGATTGTGTATCACGAAAATGAGAGAATGCAAATCTCAAGGACAGGGAATGCTGTCTCAAATGTCCTAAGTACAAATATAATCTGCTTTCAAGTGGGAAGTGCTCCAAAGGTTGAGAACAAAATCTTCTGAAGATCAACCTGCATTTTTTGTGTGTGAATCACGACATTCCAAATTTCAGTGGCTTTATGCAACTCTGAGTGCAGAAAAATTGTGTATTTTCAGTATGATTACCTGGCATTGTCAGGGTTTTGTTTTTTGACAGGGAAACAAGTATCCTGTCAATTCTATGGACAGATGCTGCATTTTCCCTGTGTTTAACTCTATGTCCTCCAATTCCTTCTAAAAAAATCAGAGGTGGAGGTTAGGTAATATCTCCTTCCTCCTGTTTTCACACTGGAATATTCTGATACCAACAGAAATCTCATACTTGGGTTGCAGTATATGGTAGCTCTTCCTAATGTTTGTATCACAAGTTGGTCAGCATGAGCCAGAGGGAGGGAAGCTGCAATAATCTCTGCTCTCAGTGTGAAGCTGAAAAACATAACCAGTTTTCTTTCTATGAGAATGTTATTCAAAAAGAAAGAGGGAAAAGAGCAGAAGAGAAAGTCTGCATAATAGTTTCAAAGCTCCAGACAATCATGAAGTATTCCTTTTAAGTTACTGTGTTCTCCTATCTTGATGTGGTAATTCATGTAGAAAGGACAAAGTTCATCGCAAGTTAGAGAGGAAAAATATCTCCACAAGGAGTATTTATGCATAGCTGTGCTGTTTCTAAAACACTAGTTCTAGACTCTTCAGCTTATCTATGACTTCTGTAAGGAGCCAGTCTTTAGTAAGTAAAAAACTGCAACAATGGTGGCTTCTTGCTTACCATCTTTTGCATTTTCCATTGTTCTTAGCACAGATAAGCCATCCCCCATCATCAGAATTGAGGTGTTCTCTTAAACCAGCATCCATTTCGTCTGACATCTGTCCATTTCTAGAAAAAATGATTGTGCTGTCATATATATATATAAGTGATTAATGTGGAGTTTCTCGGGGGGAGCAAATAGCTCTGGAAGAAGCTTTGGCACCACAGCAATAAAATACAGCTGATCAGAGCTGATTTCTGGAGAAAGCAGCTGCTTATTTTGTGACTAATATAAATGCTGAGACATGGAGGATGCCTTTCTAAGTTGGAAGAAGCTGTTACGTGGTTGTTCTAAATGTTACATCAGATACTAAAGCCATTTTTCACATGTCCATTGAAATGATTTTGTTTGCTTTTAAGTACATTAAGTAATCCATGGTTCTATTTTTTGTCTTTAGCTCTGGTTTAAATATCCTGTATCCTGGAGAAGCAGAAATCAATAATTTATTGAAATTAGTCTTAACTGAAGGTGAGAATGTCTTCTTGCCATGTAAAAGTGTGGGTGGCTTTTTCGTAATTGAAACCAGAAAGTGAAAATACTTCTAGGAAATTACAGAATGCTTCCAGCTCTGAAGCTCCTTCTGAATGGAAACATGGGCAAATGTAGATGAGGTAAAGGGAAGTTGGTCTCAATCGGGCAGCTGTTTGAAATGGAAAAGGGTTAAAGTTCTCTTTTATCACTCTTAGTAATGTTTCCTGTCCAGATTGTGTTTTAAAATATCTACAGTTAGTGTTACTCATGGCAATTACACAGTGACCAGAGGTAATCCTTAGTGAAAGAGTAATGTTCAACTTGCATTCACCATGAAATGGGGGTCTGGGCTTAGAAGCAGCTGATGCATAGTAACATGTTACTTCATAGAACAGTGTGCATCCATCAAAGTAAGTTTCAACAGGCAGTGATATCAACAGGGAATTGGGCTATGCTGTAAATATCATACTTTCTGAGAAGTAGCATATATTAAGCAAGATATGTGAGGAAATAAAAAGAAATTACTTCTGTAAAATGCTGTTTTGCCAAAGTTTTTGCATTCCATTTTAGGAGAGAGAAATAGTGGTCTCTCTCAACTCCGCGATGTTATCCTGACTAATTTAGCTGAACAGCTTCAGAACAACAGATTTGGAAGTGAAGATGATGATCACTATAGGTAAAATGCAACATTATGTTCCCCTTTCTCCCCATATATAATATTTCTGTTACCTGCTTTAGGTAATCTTGCATAAAATTCTGTTGAAATTGCTTGTTATTTCACTGGCAGTGTGCCCTGAAATCCTGTCCTTGTGTCTGGAATGGGTGTAGAGTTTCATTAGGACAAAGGAGAGAGAGGCTGGACTAATTTTAGGGGAAACTTTGGAGACTTCTGTACACAGACTTAGGTTTGGATTCTCTGCTACTTACCATGTATACAGTAAATGTCAATGATAATTCGTAAGTGTGGTATGATGACACCATATCACTACATTAGGTGACTTTTCAGCAATAAAACTGTCAGTCTCAAGTACCTGTTCAAGCTGGGAAAAATCCTTTCTTTATTTTAGGTGTCATTAGAAGCCCTTGATTTATATGAGCACAGTGGAGGAAATCACTTGCAGTGATTGTTGTTTAACATTTCAGACTTGGTTTTCTTTGTGTCTGAATCTCAAGTTGAACAGGTATTTGTTTTGGTTTCACATGATTAGTGGTGCAGCTTGCAGAGACTTTTGAGATGAGCTAATCAAAACATTAGACTGTAATGAGACTGTTAACATTTTACATCTTTCTTGCATTTTTTGAAGACTAAATGATGAACTTTTGCACTACATTCTCAAGATTGTTGTCCGAGAATCTTGTGTCTTAATCACCAAGTGCCAAACTGTATCTAAAGATGATTTTCAAAAGCTTCTTTCAACTGTGCCTGTAAGTAAAATGTATTTTGATCAAAGTATACGTGCCTTTGGCTTCTTTTCCTCTTTAAATCTATTATCTTCACCGAGCGTATAGAGGTGAAGCTTCTATACTTGTGTTTCTTAACAAATACAGGAAAATATTCTTTTGTTAGTGCTGTGCAGGGAAGGAAAAAAGAATTTCTTAAAGCAAATTGTACAGTAATGCTAAACCGAGTTTATATGTGGATACATTTTCCAGTTGCTCTGGTAGCTGTTTGAATTGAAAAGAAATCTGTGTATCTCAGTCTTCAAAGCATTGCAACAGCTTAAAAACCAAACTCTTTCTGCAGCTGTGCATAATGATTCAAACAAGCAGAAAGGATTAGCATTTACAGACAAAAATTTGACGTTATTGAATGGTAAGAGCATGCAGAGATGTTTTGAGCAGGATCAGCTCCCTGAGCTGGTTGAGGGCAAAGGCAGGTGAGCTTGCGTCTCAACACTGAGGAGGGAGGGATGCAGGGAGATGGGAAAGGAGAAGTAGCGTGGAACCATTGCCTTGAGGAATGTGAATTAAATTGAGTTCTATGGATGCATTATCCTTTAAAAATTAATGAATGTTACAGTGCTTGAATATTACTATAATGTTACGTAGTTGAATAAAATTGTACTACTTCTTTGTTTTGCAAGTTATTTCGCAAAATGCAGTGTTTTGCAACCAGTTTCTTAAGTATGTGTTAACAAGCTTACATTAAATCTGCAAAAACAGTTCTGTTCAAAGGAAATTATTCTGCTTTTGCTTGTCCTCTCCCTTAACTTTTTTCCTCTTTTACATTTCAAAGTACAAGGATTGCCTGAACCAAGGTTAAGTGGTTTAGATAATGTAAAGTTCTACTTATTTATGTTAAAGGCTGCATCTTCGTGTTTGCGGTATCTGATGGCTGTACAGAACCACCTCCTCAGTAACACTATTCTGATTAAACCTGATGAAAATGATGACAGTGACAGCTCCTTGCAGGGAGAGACATTGAAGGTACAGGTAAACGCCAAGTTTTATTCTAGCATGGCTCTCTCCAGTCAGTGTTCCTGTGACACCTCTTGTTTCTGCAGTGCATTCTACTGACATTGTTTTGTTAGTTATTTTCCTTTTGATATAGTTAAGTTATTGTAGATAGTTTTTTCCTGTTCTCCAGCTCAAGGCTGCAATTGTTCTGTGTTCAGGATTCCAGCTTGGGTTCTATGTTCTTAGTAAGAGCTGGCATTTCCTAAATATACATATGGTGAGATTTAAAATGTACTTTAATTAATACGTGTTCGTAAAGAAGTCTATGTGCCAGGAATCCTTCTGGAGACATTACCCCCCACTTCCTCTGCTCCAAATCACTTGGGTGGTCACTTTTCAGACATAAATAGGAAAGTTTTCCTGTTTGCCTTTCTGGCTTCTGCTTTCTTTCAGTTTTAACTTACAAAGCTTATGTAGAACCACCTACTACATCTGTTGTCTGAAGTAGCAGCAGTGATGTTTGTGGCAGGGAAACTGAGGACAGGGCTTGTAGACAGTGGTTGTTTTGTTGGTATGTTTATTAAAATGGTGTCTTTTCATGTTACTGCTGGCATAGTCTGGAATGAACTCGTAGAAGCCAGTTCTGTCTTAGCATGCAGCTTGTGTTAGTATTTGTAACAGTAACAGTTCATCTGTAATGGCATTGACTTCTGAATTTCTGGTGGTGTTAAGCTGGTTTTGTGTGCTACTCTTTGAGACTTTGTGTGCTTGTAATTTGCTGTAGTTGGAAGTTATTTGTTCAGGCGCATTGAGTAAATGCTAAATATTGTAGTACTTTTCTTGTCTCACTATTCACCCATGTTTTCATTGTTCAGTTTCTCTCTCTACAGTGATCCTCATACCTGCTAGGACATTCTGTCACCAGTGCTGTACCTTGGCTGGCTAACAGCTTGCTCTGCTGTGCTGGACTTGGGGATTCCTTCCCTCTAGAAACTGGATGTGCATCCTGTAAAACATGCACCTAGTTTCTCCCAGCACTTTGGGTCTTAGCATTAATCAAATTTAAGTCTTGGATGAATCTCCTGCTGCAGGCCTGCCAGGTCACATTATCATTATTCTCATTTGGAAATCCATCATTTTGTTCTGTTGCCCTTTTTTTTTGTATTCTCTAAGAATTCAAGTATCCTTTAACTCTTTTTGTACCTAGGAGCTAAAGACCAGCATTTTGTCTCTTGCTACACAAATTCTGACAGGATGCGATGAAGTCTTAGAAATGCTGCAACAAGTCACTACCGCGCTAATAAACAGTGACATTTCGGACAGAGAGCAAAGGTAAGACAAGTATGTCAATACTAATAGCTTGGTAATCTATAGAGACTTCAAATTGCAAAGGTTTTAGTTAGAATGTTATTTATGAGTTAAAGTAACTGTAAAAAAAAAACTCTAGTTAAGTCATCTTATCCATTACAAGTCTTGGACGTTGTGATATCCTGTGAATTTCAACAGATAGAGTCACTTTGCCCTTCCCTGTCTCCACTTAAAATATATGTTGGGAATGTGAAGTAGACAAAAACAGTGAACCTCTTTGCCGTATTAAGCAAACACCTCCCTCTCCCAGTCATGTTTTAGGTTTCAGTTTCTAAGCTTTTCAGTGCCTGCAAGGTTAGTTTTGTTTATTGACAGTGCATAATTCCTTTGAGATACTTTCAGATGGGTTTCATACTCAAATATATTTTTGTAGATACAGGTTCTTTTAAAGTACTTTGAGCTGCGTGTGCTTGGAGCCTAGTATACATACTGAACAAATACAGTTGTGTTTGATGTGGACTTTCATCGCATGCCCATGGGAGCTTACCATTTTCCAAGTAGTAAACTCTTGGGTTTTACTGTCTTCTGGTCTTACTTGTTTGTAAGAGTTGACAGCAAAGACTAGGTTTCACTTTGGAGAAATTGTAATGTTTTCAAGATATAAAGGTCTTTTTTGTTGTTTTACGAATGCAAATCTTCTCTGCTGAATTTTGAATTGCCTGCTTACACAGCCTATTACAAGATTAAACAGACTACTAAAAATAGTAGTGATACTCCATTGAAATAGTTGTTACTATGCAAACTTTGATTCTCCTGACAGATTAAAAGGTCTGGAGCAAATTACAAAGGCTACTATGCTTGGGCATCTGCTTCCTGTCCTACTGACATCCCTGATGCACCCAAATTTGCAGACTCTGACTATGGCTGATGCCTTGATGCCTCAGCTGGTGCAGCTGGTTCTTTACACAAGTCAGGTATGGTTTTTGTGTCAGCAGTTGTCTACAAAGGGAAATAGATGTGATATGTGTATTTTGAAATGCTGGAGGTCTTGGTCAACTTCCTGCAGATCACAGTGTAAGAATTGCTTTAACAGCTGCAAAAGCTGATAATGCTGAATGTTAAATTTGAATTGTTACAACAGCTACTAAGTAATGATTCATTGTCAAAGTCAACAATCAACTTACAGTGATTGTTAATATAGTTCAATAACAAGATGTTAAAATTACTTACTGTTTGCATGTTCCTAACACTATATTTTGTGCCACAGACTGCACTGCTGCTTAAAACTCAGTCTCCAGTTTTCTCAGAACTGAACAGTTCTCCCAGTGGTGCATCAGAACAGAAAGGGAAGCTCTTGCCTGATGAGAGGTGATTTCCTTTACATTTGGGTCTTTTCATGGGAAAAAATATCTTAGCTGCTCATTTAACCATTGCTGAGGGATAAATCTGAAAGCAGCAATCTCATCCCCCCCCCCCCCCCCCAATTTTTCCTTGTTTTATTAAAGGCAAAGCTGTACTAGTTTGTAAGGCTGTGTTAAAGATATATAAGCCTTTTCAAAAGGCAATTAGTTCTAATTTTTTTTTGCATATAGAATTACGTTAATAGTATCTTCAGGTTGTTTGCACAGGGGATGGTTTGTTTTGGTTTTTTCCCTTCCCCTGAAGCATTAGGAATTAATTCTAAATGTTCCTCTTACAATAAATTAGGCTAAGGAAGATCATCAGGAGAAAATGCAGATTGCTCTGGCAGCATGAGATACAGTATTAAAACCATTGGAAACATATTAAATGGTTTCATTTGCATAGAGAAGACAATTTAAGTCTTACATTTAGGTCCTATATCGCTTTGAGCTGAGATACAGCTTCTGCTTAGAAACAGAAGCATGCAGCTAAATGAAATAAAAATGCTTATCATTGCTATTTGCAGTGTTGCAGAATTTGTAACATTAAACAACTTGTGATAATGTGCCATAAACTGTCTGAAAACAGTCTGAAATAGTTTGAAAACTCTTAAATTTATTTTCAGTCTTCCTCCAGATAATAAGCTTCACTGAAACATGTTGTTTTATGACAGGGTAATCAGTTTTGAGTGCTCTTCCAGGAGGGAAGGGTTTTTTTATGCTCTCAGTCATGTTAAAATCCATATATAATATATACTACTATTTACTTTTCCATGGTACTACTTAGATTGCTTACCATAATTTGAAAATTGGAAAGCATAGGGAAAAGTTCAGATCTTACAGGTTAGAGCTTGGCATAGTTACTTCTAATGCACATAGTTCATACTTTTCAAGTTCTGCACGTTCCCTGAATATAGTTATGCCTAAAATGAGGAGTCAGTACTTTGTGTCACTATGTATCAATACTGAGAAGTGATTTATAGTATGATATATAGTAGAAATCTGTGTGCTGAACTGTAGGACTCGTTGTTTACTCTGATTTCAGAATGCTGGAAGAGAAAGAAGAACCCGGTTTTCTGACGGGTTTGAAGATCCCAGCTCCCTGGGCTGCTGGGAAGACTGTAGAAACAGTTCATCCTGTCAGGGATAACTATAAATTTAAAGAAACTGTCCATATCCCAGGAGCCCGCTGTTTATATCTTAGATTTGACAACAGATGTTCTTCACAATATGATTACGACAAGGTAAGCAAGGGCCAATTCCGAAATGCTTTCTTTTGTCTGTATTTTCACAGCAGCACTTCCCATTTTTGTCTTTTCTGCCCCTTGTCTTCCATGATTTCCAGGATAATGCAGGAGATTTTTATTGATAGGAGCTTATTAGTGTACTGTAATGTCACAGTCCACTTGTCTGGCTGTAAAGTACAGAGATGCAGACAGGTTATTTCTTGCATGGCGTAAGTGTGAATAACTTGAGTTTCATCTTAAGACTTAGCTATATGATAGAGAATGTACAAAGAGTCGTTGACATGAAAAGACAGGAAGATGAAGGTAAATGGTTTGTGTTTAATTTCTATCATTCTTGAAGAAACAATCAAAAAAATATGTCTTTAATTCTTCTTTTATATTGTTTCAGAACATAATATCCAGTGATTGTTTCAGTGTTTAAGACCTATCAGTTGTGAGGATCTTTTGTTAAGGGTTAGGCTCTGCAATTAGGAACTTGCCTCAAAAGATGTTGGAAGTAGTGGTAGTTATGGAATAGGAGAAATGTAGTGTGCTCCAGAGGTTCTGGAGGGGAGTTGTTTTGGTTTTCTCCCCCTCAGAAATTGATACCAAACTCTTCCATTATTTTTCAAGTTCATTTCATGGTGGCTCAGAATGTCACAGTTTGACTTCCTGCTCATTTTTGCTGCTGTTCAGTTTTCTTTAATTCCCCAGTTTTAATCTGGCTGCCTCCAATGTCGATCAGCACAGACTGTTTAAACTGGCCAGCACTAGAAAGGTGTTTTGTTTTTTCCCTGATGATGTATGCCTTTTTTACATGGATTAATATGAATGTGTATTTTCAATTCCAAGAACACAACTACTAGCACTTACTTTGTATAATTGGGGAGCTACTTGTGCTGCTTACTAATTCTTGCCATATATTCTCTAACATAGACAAGTCCTGTGATACTCACTTCCATTAGTTATTTATAAATGTCTTTAACCAGCAATGGGTGACGTTAATATTAAACTCCTCCAGAAAACTTTGGACCTCGTCATGTTCCCACTGAATCATAGAACTATTTAGGCTGGAAAAGACCTTCAAGATCATGGAGTCCAATCATTAATCTAGCAAAATACAAACTTTGATGGGAGCAGGATCAATCTGTTTATTAGTAGAGAGACAGTATGTTCTATTTAGTTCAGCATGAGGAATGGAAGTTGGGTATCTCCCAGTTTCTGCTCCCCTTCCACTGCTGACTTGCTGTGTGACCTCGGGGGCAAGTCACTTAATTTCCTCTCTGCCTCAGTTTCCCCATCTGTAAAATGGGGATAATAATACTTGCCTACTCTCCTCACAGGGCTGTTGTGAGGATTTGTTAATGTTGATAAAGCGCTTTGAGAATCTAAAGCGCGGTGGAAGTGCTAAGTATTATTATTATTATTAGATTTTCTTGTTTTTCTCTTACAGTCTAACAGTGTATTTTATGTTTTGAAGTTGGTGATCTATGCTGGTCCTAACACAAACAGTAGGAAGGTTGCTGAGTATGGAGGCAATACACTGGGATATGGCAGCCGTAGTGTCTTAGGAACTGGTTGGCCGAAAGACTTAGTAAAGGTACAGTATTATAATCCACCAATATTTCACATAGAAAATTCCCCTTTGGAAACCCTGTTGAGTCCTTTTTAGCCCTTTATAACAATGAAGTCCAAGCTTTTAAGTGTATAGTTACCCATCCTGAGATGACTTCTTAAGTGGGCTGTTATGTCCTTGGGGAATAACTTTAAACTGGGCTCTGTGTTATGTGTGATGCTTCTCTTTGAGCTTATCTTGCTTTGTTATGTCTTACTGGAATTCGTTACTGGTATGTTTCAGTCCTGGAGTCTCTAATGGCTATACTGTTCTCATTCATTGATCTTCCTAAGAGAACTTCTTGCACAGTCTCAGGTTTTGCATATATTCTGAAGGTCTGTGGGCATAACTGCTTTTTTTGAACAGTAACCCACAAATATAACAAGTAATAAATGTAGCATTTATGTTGGTTTTTAAAATTACGTTGGATGCTTTTGGCCGTTAAGCAAGGCAGAAAAATCCCTTAAACTTCTTGAAACTTCAGTATTTCAGTAGTTTTGCTGTGTGTTCCCTCTGCATGCGGCATCATTTATTTCCTTACATGTTTGTGCTGCTGCATTGTCCCACACTAAAACTGGCCTTAAGTATATAATGAAAAATCATTTCAAAAAGAAATCAAAAAGTAATAAAGTGGAAAGCAGTTTCCAACAAGCACTTAGTTGTTCACAATTAATGGAATTTCATTTATTTTTCAGACATAGACTTTTATACTGGCCTTTTAGCAAACTTTTCTATTAATGTGTTGATGTTGTTCTCCTTGAAGAGCTTGTCTGTCTGCCCTCAGGAAGAGAACTGTTGGTTATTGTGTGGGTTCTTGCAGACAAACAATCGAAGTGTTCTGATGAAAATCAAAGCCAAGCAATACAGGCTGATAAATTCTACAAGTGCAGTGGTTGTTACTGTTTTACTGTAGCTAGCCAGCAGCAAAATTAAAATCAAATTGTCCACTTAAAGATATCCGTACAAAAAGGGAAGAACTTTAGATCATTTAATCAGAGATGAAAATAATACCTATCTAAATGTCATTAAAAGCATGAATGCATAAAATAAACCATTTTAATGAAAAACCTGTTTGTTTGCCTCAGTTCTTAAATGTCTCTTCTTTTTTCTTTCCTTCCTCCCCATCAAAATTTGAAGGTGGAAGGAGATACAGTCACCTTCTCCTTTGAAATGCGGAGTGGTCGTGAGCACAACACTCCAGACAAAGCCATGTGGGGCTTTGCTTGCACTGTTCGAGCACAGGTACTCAAACATGACAGATTCCATGGGAAAGGCTCAGCCTTGTTTGTCTTCTGTCTGTAACACACTCCAGATCAAATAGAAATGTACTTCGAAGTTGGAAGTTAATGTTCAAAGCTTACTTGTTTCTTATTACTTACTTTAGACTGTGGCATGGCTTAGGGTTTTATGAAGATAGTAATTACCAAATACATCTTATCAATCTCTTGTCATTGACGCTGGACTTGGATGAAGTCACTGTAGTGTCTCTTGCTGCTTGTAGAGCATGATTTCTTTGGAGGGATAGGTATCTTGTAACAACCTGGAAATCAGGGATTTAAAGAGAATAATGATTCCAGCCTATGAAGAAGAGAGGGGAGGGATGCTGGGATCAAATGAAATGAAACAAATCCTTCTACCAGGAAGCTAGGACTAGGCCTGTGAGATGACAGACCTGCAGCCAAAGAACGACTGAACCAAAAATGACTTTATCTTTTCTTTTTTCTTGGTTCAGGAAAATAATGGATTGTTCTTATATGTTGCTTTTAATTGTTAAGCATTTTTTCATTATACCTCTGTGTAAAAGACACATCATTGATATATAAAAGATAGCTATGTACAGATGTACATATAGTCTTACATATATATAAATATAAAATCACCTGTATTGAAATGTACTGGGGAAGGACTTCATGGTTGATTGAGTGCAACTTATCACTGTTCCTATTACAGGAGTCTTCAGAGGACGTGTCAGGAGGGTTGCCTTTCCTAGTTGACCTGGCACTTGGCCTTTCTGTGTTAGCTTGTTCTATGCTGCGAATACTATACAATGGACCAGAAATTACCAAAGATGAAGAAACCTGTCAAGAGCTCTTAAGATCTAAACTGTTACAAAGGTAAAAAGATAGTAACTTTGATCTGAGTCCCATTGTGGGTTATTTTCTGATGGAAGGGGATTTCTGTAGTTGTGCTCAAGTCTTGTGTTTTAAGGTGATGTTGTGATAATTTTTCCTGCGGTTTGTTCAGCAGTTCTGTGTTGCCTAAAACAAAGGGAATACTCTCTAGAAGAGCGGTTTTCTCTAGAGCAGATAGAGGAGGTTTGGACTATGCGTGGTACAAGCCAGATTTGATATATTAATATGTAATCTGTCCTTGTAGTGTATCATTCTGAATGGGGGAAGAGTTAGGAGGAAAGAAAAGCCCTTTTCAATCTGTTCTTATTTCTTTTTCCAGGTGCCAGTGGCAGGTGGAAGCCAATGGTGTCATATCTCCAGCCCTTACACCAAGTCCTTCTCCATTGCCTCTCACTATAGATGAAGATAGAGAATTTACATACCCTTCTGATGTTCTAGTGCCTCCCGTTGGACACTATTTTGATCTGCCCAGAATTAGGCTGCCTCCAGGAATCATGATCAAACTCAGGGAAATTTCTGGACGTGCTCGGCCTCAATTTAGACCTAGTATAAAGTAAGTAGTTACTGTTTTGCTCTAACTTGACTTTTATTGTTTTAATGTTGGGTGTCAAGTGAGCTAAAGAAGCAAAATGAGGATGCGGCATGTCTGATGTGTATGATGGTATGAGTTTAATAGTCTATAAATGCTCGTTTGTAAATCAGCATCTAGTGAATTGTAAATCTGAATTGTTAAAGTTTGTCCATTATTCTTGCTTAATCAGTTTGGCTTTACCTATAACCCTAGGGATGTGATTCAGCCAGAAGTAATGGAGGAGATGGTAGTTTCATGTGTGATAAAACATCTGAATTTGGTTGATGCACTCCAGTCCCTGATAAATTTCCAGTATCAGGAGGAACATGCTGAAGAATATGATTTACTTTGTAAAATTATGGGCGAGACCTTTAAGAAGCTAAATGCCATGGAGAGACAATTGCAGGTAAAAATAAAAATACATAAACCAAGAAGGCTTTTTTTGAGAATAAAGGTGTATTAACAGCATTTTTAGAAACGCAGAAATACAGAATATACTCAGATTTCTCCTTTTAAGATTTCTTCTGCTCCTTAAGGTGACCAACTGCAATAAGTGTTATTTTTGTCCCTTTATTAGAGTGTGGCTGAGCTGGAGCAGAAATGGCAGAACGAGGTAGATGACGCCATGCATGGGAAGCTGGAGAACAATGTCCCATTCTTTTATGATTATCACTTCAATGAGGTGAGCATTGTGGCTGCTGTGTGTGTGCTCCTGCTTCATGCTGCTCACTCAACACATGTTCATCCTTTTCCTTCACTTTATTTAGAGCAAGATGAAAGAACTAGAACTTCTGTGTTCAATGAAAGAAGTTTCTTTTGATGGAAGCGATCTGGAGAATGTGGTCCTGGCATTAAGGTTGGTAGCTGGCTGTGGAGTGGACCATTTAGGAAAGGTACTTAAAAGAGCAGCTGTAGAGTATTTGTGTTAAATATATTAGTACCTACAGGTACTTACTAACAAATCGTTTATTTCATTTTTTCTGCTTTCTACTTTGTTGGCATAGAACAGATTGATGCTGTATGTCTTCTGTAAAGGAACCTTTCTCACAGTAGCATGTTATTACAGAAGCCATTAAAACATAATTGAGTTTGCTTCTTTTTCTTTCATAATCTTAGGGAGAAGTTTTTTCAAGAGGTGAATTCGCTGATACAGAAGACCTCTCATCCCCTAGCGAAAACCAAGACACTTGTGAAGAGCTTGATGAACAGAGCAGAGCTGTTGCTGCACGTCACTATTGCAGCACAGTCTGGGATCACAAGAAGTATATCTGGTACCCCTGCAGAGACTCCAGGTATACATCTTGTGATCAACATTGTGCTTTTTTACTTTTTTTCTGAAGAGATAAGTTCTTCCTTTTCTCTTATTTTCCCTCTTTCACTTAAATTAAAATTAATTGTTTTTCTCTTTCTTACTTTATCAAATTAATTTGTTTACAGTAAATGAGGTTGTGTCTTTGTTTTCTGATTGCTGTAATGATGGTAAATTAAGGTATGGTTAATAATAAGTGGAATTTAAACTTTAGTCTCCTGAATTATTGGCAGAAAAATGTGTAACCTGGTCACATCAAATCTAACTTGATACAATACCTGAAAACAGGAAAGTCCTCAGAACTGAGTTGCAAATTCTTGCTTAAGCTGCATTTTCCCTGGTGGATGTTAACAGCTTTCACTGGAATGTCCACACTGATTTTAAAACCAGCTTGTACTTCTACACCAGCAGTGACATTCTATCTTCTTGTGTAACACTGCAGCCTGTAAATCAGCATCTGAAACAAAAGTGATCTCTCACGCCGTCCGCCAGCCCGTCTTCCTTCGCAGTATGTCAGCACCATCCGACTTGGAAATGATTGGTAATGAAGATATCGAGTTTGCTAGATCAAGTCAAAGGTATGCGAGGGCTTGTTCCACTAAGCTGCTTTACAGTAATGTGGCCTATGTTGTTAAAATCATCATAGTCTTTGCAAACAAAGCCTGGCTTACTGCTGCCCCTCGTAACTCTCCTGTGTTCTCATAGGCGCCGCCACGTTACCAGCCACAGAAGTAGCTCTTTTACTCTTCTCCAGTCACTGACCATCGAGGACAGCAGAGATAAACCTACGTACAGTGTCCTGCTGGGGCAGCTCTTTGCTTTCATTGGGACAAATCCTGACCAAGCGGTATGTCTTTTTGAATGTGCTAAATCCTTATATTTCCGAATTCAAACTTTCACAAGGAAGTGAAGTGTTTTATCATGTCTCATTCACAAAACCAAACACAACCTCATAGGTGTCCAGCAGCAGTTTTCTGCTTGCTGCTCAGACGAGGTGGCGACGTGGGAACACGAGGAAGCAAGCCCTGGTGCACATGAGAGAGCTGCTGACAGCAGCTGTTCGGGTTGGAGGTGTGACACATCTTGTAGGCCCGGTGACCATGGTGCTGCAGGGAGGACCAAGGTTAGTTTATTTCTCTGAAAAGAATTGTTTCAGTCTCTGTAGAAGATAGCAAATTGCTTTGCACACATTAAAACCATGAGGAGTGACTAGCTGTGAGGGCTCCAGTTTGTAGAACTAAACTTCCAACAACCATCTTGGTGCTTGTCGGGTTAAAAGGCAGAAACTTCTAAAAAATGCTTTTATTTGATAGTAGATGAACTTTCCTTTCATACTTGGATGATGTGTCCACAGATATGTCTAAAGGTATCTTACTGTCTTAATTCTATGTTCATATTAATTAGGTATTAGTGGTAGACTAGGCTGATACTGATACTAAATCTGATAAATACTTTGTGTTGTTTGTGGTCAAATTTCGGTCCTGTTTGAAATAAAACGATCCTACTATCTTGTTTACATATGTTTGATATTAAAGCATGGAGTGATTTGAATTTTACTTCTGTTTTTTGGGTAATTTTGAATATGTGCTGATTATTTCTTTAAAGCTATATTTGGAAGTATTTTCATTTTATTTAACCTAGAAAACCTACCATTTCAAATCTCTAACTACCAACAGAATTGAAGAGCTCACATGTGGCGGGATGGTGGAACAAGTCCAGGAAGCTTTTGGAGAGACAATGACGTCTGTGGTCTCGCTATGTGCTCGCTACCCCATTGCTTGTGCAAATAGCATTGGCCTCTTATGCACTATACCTTACACAAGGTATGAAAGTGTTTCCTGCAGAAAGGGAAGGAGGGCATCCTTAATAGGTTTTGCCTTAGGGAGAAATATTACCTAGTATATACATACTTCCTTTCTTCATAAAGCCCTGTTCAATCTGGCCTTGAACACTTCCAGGGATGGGGAGTAATGAGGATTATCTTGAGAACATCCTGTTAAATTTGCTTAGAGTACAGAATTTTATCTGGGAGGACAAGGGAGAGGCAGAACCATCTTTCTGCCAAGTGAAGTGACTAATTGCTGAGTTAACAGCACATTCTGTATTTTCATTGTGTCTGTTGTTTGGTGACTGAAAAGTTATTTAAGTAACATCCAAATATCTCTTCTCGTACAGGAGCGAAGAGAAATGTTTGGTACGTAGCGGCTTGGTACAGCTTATGGACAGGCTTTGCAGTTTAAGCAGTCAGACAGAATCCAGTTCAAATGAAAAACAGACCAAGAAACAGAAGGTGGCCACCATGGCTTGGGCTGCCTTCCAGGTGCTGGCCAATCGGTGTGTTGAATGGGAGAAGGAAGAAGGTAGGAACACTGCCAAATAGGTTTCTGTTGTGTGCTTTAGAATTGTTTAAGTGCCTGAGATGTGGTGTAAGTGTATTTAAAATAGGCCATTTGCTCACCATGACTTCAGTACTGTGTGGGTTCTTCAGAACACACAAGTGGATACAAAAATAAGTTGATTTTTCTTGATGCTTTTTTAATTCTAGGAGTTCTTTTCCTCTTCGTGGGAGTGTTTATGTTGCATATACAAGTCTGTCACTTGGTTCTGTCTAGACATAACCAGAGGCCCTGAGTGGTCCCTGACAGGTTTCGTCTGTGATAGGATTCAGCCATAACACAAACTCATACATGTGTAGCTATTGGCTGATGGAACATAGATGTTGTATCAGGTTTTACTTTTAATTAAAGGCATTTTCTATATGTTTTTTTTTTGCTATAGCAGACCAAAAACTTGCTAATTTCAGTTTATGCGTAAGGAATGTGTAGACATGTCCATTCATTTTGTTAATTCCAATTGTGTATTCTTGCACTGCTGTTAAAGGTGGCTCCACAGAAGCTGTTCACTCTGGTCTGGCTCGCCAGGTCTCCAGCCTTCTTACCAACCACCTTGCCCGAGCCACAGAGTGCTGTGGTAACCAAGCTGCAGGAAATGATGCACTACAAGATGTTCTCAGTCTTCTTAATGACCTGTCAAGGTACTAGGCCTTTGCCTCTGGACTATTTTTTATTGTGTATGAAAGCAGGTGGGGGTTCTGTAGGGGTTATGTATATATATATATTTCACAGTAGTGAAGGTAAGATAACTTTCAAAATCATTCTAAACTGACACTTACTCAGTCTTGGTGTTTAATCCCTTTAAGGAGTCACATAGGTAAAGCAATCCTGAGCCAGCCAGCCTGTGTGTCCAAGCTTCTGTCGCTTCTCTTGGATCAGCGTCCTTCTCCAAAGTTGGTCCTTATAATCCTCCAGTTGTGTCGTGCTGCACTGCCTCTCATGAGTGTTGAGGACTGTGGAAATGTGGAGTTGCCTCCCTGGAGTTACTCAGTACCCTCTCTGAACAGCGAACAGGATGATCCCAGTGACCCAGCCTCCAAGATTGCCTCTCTGCTGTTGGCTAAACTGGCAGATTATGTCGTCCCAGGTACCAGCATCTTTCTAGTGTCATGCTAATCTGAGAAATTGCCAAGCAGGTCATGTTTCTGCAAGGAGTTTTTGTACTGACAGCTCGAGTAGGAAAAGGTATATGATGTGTCAGTGTTAAGATGGGACATATCTGTGACTTTCCACCTGGCTCTTCATTTAACTGTTCTCAGACTGAGTGTCACAGTGATGTATTAGATTCATCTTGGGTGTGTTAGCATTACTTTCAAGGGCAGGAAAGTTTGTTGATAGAACTCATGGTTGTGTGTTTTAATTCCTTTTGTTTTTCTTTTTTTCCTTTCTACTGAAGGGTGCCAGACAGTTCTTTCTCCAACTGCCTCTGAGCCAGACACTACTTTGGCAAAAGCCAGCCCTAAAAATTCCATAAAAGGTGATAAAGATCCTGGAGAAGAAAGTGAGGCAGTGGATGGTAAACTTTCTATTTTTATTCATAAACGGGAAGACCAGTCATCCCATGAAGTCCTTCAGCCATTACTAAGGTACTCTTAACTCACTGGATTGGAATTAGCAACCAATTTTGTCATTTCCATTTCTCCTCTCTTTTTTTTTTTTTTTTAGTGTTACAGGTATAGAAAAATGCATTGTAGACATAAGCAAAATGTCTTCCTAGTTTCTTGTGTTTATTGGCAAAATAATAACATAATGCAAAAATGGCTTCTGGGGCTGATGCTTAGCATCCTGTTACCTGGATAAAATGCACACCACTACACTGAATTGGTGGTGAGGCAGAAAGACTAAATCCCAGTGCTTCCTGGACTTGTCTGTTTTGTGGAAGACTGTTTAGCAGTGATGAGAGCAGCAAAGCTGAAACAAGAGCAGGGTATACACACGTCTAAAAGGAGGAGGAGGATATGAAGTGTGATGTTTTGGTTCGCTTACAAGCCATGTAAGCCACAAGCAAAGGGGCATAAAAATATCTTGATTTGTCTGAAAACAGCGATATGAAAAATGAACTACTTGAACAATACTCCATCAAAAAAATTGAATGTATCTTGTTATTGTATTGTAGCCTATGTAGGACCAACTAATAGATCTGTCAAAGCAAAATGGCTTTAAAAGCATTGCTTTTAATAATGCATACACTGGATAATAATTTCCTATTACAGCTTCTTTAGTATTCTTTGTGCACACTTGTTTTTTTGAGATCTCTGAATGTCAAACAGCCAACATCATCGCCTCTTGTATTTTGTACTGTTTGTTTCATCCCCCCACTCCAAGCTGGTTTTGAACCCAGGCCCTAAAAATGGTACTAAAAGGTACAGCTACTGGGTATTGGTGGGAGAAAGATTAACTCAGGCATTTGTGTTCAGTAAAAAACATTGCATGATGCTTCTTTTTAACGGGGAAAGGTTAAATTGCTGTGCAAATGACTACATTCAATAGTATTAAATTCCTTTTGTAAATTATAGTGCAGTTGGGTTTGTCTTTAAGTAGAAGTATTTCTACTACTCTTGAGCAATTCAGTTGCAAGGGTTGCTTTCAAATAGTTTAAAACCACACATAATGTATGAAATGGAACTGTAGAGTTCAGCTGTTTTTAACATCAGTGAAAACAAAGCTGATGTGTTTTGTTTTCACTCCAATAGTAGCTCGGAAGGTCGTCCATTCCGACTGGGAACTGGAGCCAATATGGAGAAAGTGGTGAAAATGGATCGAGACATGACAAAAGTAAGGAAAGAAATAGCTAAAGAGTTACTCAACATCGTAAAAATTGATGGCAAATCAATTTTGGTTTTTGTTGATGTTATATCCGCTTTGTTTAATGTTATTTAATTTACAGAACTCTTCAGAAAGATAACTTTAAATGTATTGTTAGCATTATGAAGTTATTGATGTAAATAACAGGGCTAAATGATGGAAAAGGATTTTGGCTAATGCTTCCTCCAACCGTTGTAGGTCATCTTTAAGCCCTTTAATATTCTCTGTCCTGAGATGTTTAATGCACACTGATAGTATTTAAATTAAACTTTCATGTATATTTTCAGACAAGTTCCTAAGTATTTGCACCAGAGATACTCCTATGTGGCTTTTTTGATCAGAGAAACTATACTGTTATGCTAAAAATGGAATGTTAAAGGCAATGAATCTATATTGATCTCTGATCTCTTTTTTTTAGATGAGAAAAAGCAACAGAAAGAATTTGTCTTATGACTGTGACTAATACACAGGAGGATGTTTTGATGTGTTCTCTGTACTTTTACATATGCAGAGGGAAGACAATGAAATGCATCACACAGTATGGCCAAATAGAGCTAACATTAGTATTTGTCTTACACGGCAATTTTGTTTGCAGAGCGGCTGTTGTGAAGTGATTACAGAAGAAGCTGCTGCAGCTCTTCGAAAGGCAACTAAGTGGGCACAGTCTGGCCTAATAGTTAGTGTTGGGCCACCCATAGAAACTGTCAATCCAGAAACTACCAGTGGGTTGTCCACTGGGGACAAAAAGAAGACTGCACAAACATCTATTTGCAGAGAGAGGAATTCTGAGCTTGCCAGGTAGGTCACTTTGATTCTATATTAATCTAAATCCTGCTTTTCTATATACCAGTGTTCGTAGTGCTCCAGAAAATAATCTTCCCTTTTTTATGCTCTAAATTCTTGACAATTGAAGCTTCTTTTCCTTCTGTTGTTTTGAAATTAATGGGCAAATTACTTTCTTACCCTGCGTAGGACGGATCCTGTGAGGCCATTCATTAGTGGTCATGTTGCAAACAGCATGGCAGCAGAGGTCATCGCTTTGCTGCATAGCTTGTTGATGGCACCAGAATCAAATGCAGCTCAGATATGGACAACAACTGCTGAAAAAGTAAGCAAACGGAAGATTAACTATCAAATAATACACCAAGCATGTACTGAGTAGTTGAGAGGACTTTATTATTAGCAACTTCCTAAGCTACTCCTTCCCAGTTCAGTTCAAACTGGGATGTATAATTGCATCAAAGCAGCCTTTTCTGGTAGATGGTGCAGAATAAGTAATCAAAAACTATCCAGCTTCAGAGAATAAGTTATTCTCTAATTCACCTGTCAGTCTTTTCAGTAATTAGTAACGCTGTTTGTTTAGGGAGCTATCTTGCCTTCACTGGGTCATTAATCTACCTTTGCTAATCAGTCCTCTCTGCCATGACCCTCTGAAGGTCCAAAGTGTTGGCTAGAAAGGGCTCTACTCTGCTTTTATGTTCCTCTGAAACCTGTAGCAACTAATCTGTTGCTTAGGCTAGATCCTTGGGCAAAGAGTTTTGCTAAGATGATGTATATAGATCTGTGATGTTTGCACTTCAGAGAACATGGAATATTCTAAGTTACATAATTCTTTTAAAGAACAAAAGTAATTCTGAGGCTGTGTGTGGGCTGGAGGCTTGGGGCATTGTTTTTGTTTGAATTGTGCTTTGAAGTCATTCTCTGCCTATTTTTTGCTTCTGTCTTGAGGTTCTGTCTCGGGCTCTGATGTACATTCCACAGCTTGGGAAATATGCAGAGAGTATTTTGGAGAATGGGAGTAGCAGCGGAAGGAAACTTGCTAAACTTCAGAGAATCGCTCGGCAGGCAGTAGCTGCCCTTTGTGCTCTGGGTGGCTTTAAGGAGACAATTAAAATAGGCTCTGAAGTTCAGGTAATTCAGTGCCATTCACATTTTATATCTGATATGAGAATTGGTGCTTCTGATGGTGTCTTACCTGCTCTGGCGTACTTGGGAAGCAGCGTGCAGGTTGTCTGTGGTTGTGAAGCAGTTGAAATAACACTTGTGGAGACTGCTACTGTGTGTTGCTCCTGTTTACTAAAACATCCAGCTCTGTGTTGAGTTGGGGTGTGGGGTTCTACACTCAGTGTTTCTTGTTTGGAAAGCCTTAAATCTTACACAGACCTTCTTTGGTTGTAGGTTTTAGGTAAAGGAATAGCAGGAAGCATTGGAGTTGTGGCATCTATTAATGAACAAGAAGGTATAGCAACGGTCAAATTTCCACCCACCAGTATAGACAGTAGAAAGACCTCACAAGCATCAGACACATTAACTATTCCATTATCTAGGCTGTGTGTTCCAAGGTCTGAGGTACGGTAGTTTTAAGAATCCAATATTAAGTATAATATCAATTATTTTTTTGTCACAATTAATCTACAGCATGTAAAAAGCTTGCTTCATCTTTGCTTAAAGATTACTTGTAAAGATTGCCTCTTAATATCTATATGTAAGTTCTCATTCAAGTAACATGGATATTCATCTTCTTGGTGCTTAAAGATGTTTCATTACATACTGTGTTGTTTTTGGGGGGGTTGTTTGTTTTTTCTTACTTTCTTTTCTTTGACTGGTGTTTGGTGGTGGTTTTGTGGTAGTACAAAATGAGAATTAACTCCAGGTAATAAAACACCCTTATTTCTTAGAAACTAACTACTTGAATTTAACTTTTTACCGTGCCCCCCCACCATCAGGCATTGCCTCTTCATAAACTGTCCATTACTGAGAAGGTAGTACAGGCAGTCCAGTCCATGTTGCTCCCTCAGGAGGGAAGTCTATCTATTCACACCTCACTTCCTGCAACAGGAGATGGCTCAACTCCAGTAATGGCAGTGGTCCGGCTTCTTGCTGAAATAAGAACCAGGTGAGTTTTCGTGCAAGAACCAGGTTTTGTGAGTCTGTTTTGATAGTGTACACAAACGATTCAAGAGAACTTAGAATCATAGAATCCCAGCCTGGGTTGTGTTGGAAGGGACCTTAAAACTCATCCAGTTCCAACCCCCTGCCATGGGCAGGGACACCTTCCACTAGAGCAGGTTGCTCTAAACCCTGTCCAGCCTGGCCCTGAACACTGCCAGGGGTGGAAATTGCATGGGTTCATATTTTCTTCATCTGTGGGCATTGACATATGACAGCAGGAGGCAAGGCAACAATTCTTGTTTGCTTCCTAAAGTACATTTATTGTCCGAATGTTGTGAAAATGAGCACCAAAAATAAAGTCCCCCTGTAATACTGACAATGCATGTAGCAAATGCTTCATGTAAGTAACCGTTGTGAAGCAGAGGAAAGGTGAATTCTGTGTACACTTTTGTAATGCTTTAAACCTATCATTTTTCCATTAAGAGCATGCCTGGTGATGGCTCAGCTGTTAGAAGACAGCTCATTCTGTGAAGAATTCATTCAACAGTGTCCAGCTGCTGTAGAAGTTCTTAATTTGGTAGCACAGGAGTGCAGCCCTGGTAGGTATCCAACATGCTCTTGAAGCTTCATTGTTGTACTCAGAGACATAACAGCTTTTAAAATCACTTCGCTTTGTTTTGTCTTTCAGCTACTTAGAGTTTGATAGCTAGCACGGTACAGCATGTCTTGTCATAGCTGCAGAGCTGTTATCACACAAGTAGCTAGTCATCACCCTGTATCATTTTAAACATCAGGCACAAAGGTTAGACCAGAACATGATTATCCTGTGTATCGCAGAAGATGAAAGTCCTGAGAGTAGTTCTCTACTGCTACACTTCTAAACCCTTTCCACTTTTCTTGCTTCCAGTGTAACTTACTCTGTATTCCCTGACATTATCACTTCTGTTTTCTTTTTATAACCTTTTTGCTAGTATTTACAATGCTTTCTTATATTCCTGATCATTGAGCTCTTGATTTCCTTTCCTGTTTAAGGATAAGCAATGGGCTCAGCAGAAGTCTTAGTTCAAGGGCAAGTTTTAGGAACATGTCAGAGCCTTTCATTAGAGGAAAAGTGGCTGAAGTGAAGGATGTCAGGGTGGGAACATGAGGGTGTCAGTATGATCTCCAGTGTAAGAGGAAGGGTACTGATTTTTTGACAGCAGGCATAAATTCTTTTGACTTCCTGCTTTTGCTGGGTCATGAACCTGCTCACTAAAATGAATTTTATATCTTAATTAACATAGTAATGTCTTTGCTAGCCAAATATGTATTAAACATGAGGAAAACAATTGCTTGTATGCATTAGATTTTGTCCTTAATTTTTTTGATTAGGTGAGACTATTTGATCAGATCTCTGAATGTATTTGTTTCTGTTTACTGGTATTAAGATTGCCTTGTTGGACTCCAGTAACTAGATTTGCTTTGTTTGGTTTGTTGTTACAGGGGAGAGGCTCCTTGTTGTAGAAATGCAGTGTGAAAGGCTACGGATGTTGTATCGTGACTGTGCTCGGCCTCCCCCTCCTCCGCTCCAAGCAGACAGAAGGCAGGTGAGCACAGAAACAGTGCTGAGCATACAGCCCCTTGGAAATGAAGCCAGACACAGGGTGCAGAGAGTCTGCCTGTGGTCTTGGAGCCAAACTGGCTGGATTTGTGTTTAAACATACCATTTAATGTGAATTTCTGTAATGGGAATTATTGTGGTTGCAGTTGTGGTAATTGTATGTGATGTATTAAATGTGCACTTCATAAAAGAATGTGCTATTGGATTTCAGTAGAAGACATCAACTGTAATTGGTACAATAAAATTCTCTGTTCCTCTTTGTAGCCCAAAGAAATCACTTGGAGCCCATCAAGAGTATTTCCTCCTGTGCGAGCATGCATGTTTTCATCACATCTCACTGCTGTGACCTTCTTGGCTGATCCTAGTGCAGGTGGGGGACTTCCTCGGGGCACATTCATCTATGCCACTTCACCAGTTCCAGTACAGGTGAGAACTTAACCTGTACAACAGTGTGTGTAGTTTAACGTTCAGTAGTACACAAAAAGAGAAAGAAAACTTCCTGTTTTACCTAAGATTTGTAAGTAATTGTTTTTAAAATAATTATCATTTTTGTTTCTAGGCACCATCATTCTACTGGGAAATTGAAATAGTTTCCTATGGAGATACAGATGATGACACTGGACCAATAGTTTCATTTGGCTTTGCTACAGAAGCTGAAAAACGGGATGGTGCTTGGACAAACCCCGTGGGCACCTGTCTCTTTCACAAGTACGTTGGAGATGTACATCAGAAATCACGGTCTTGCTCAGTACATTTGTAAGCTCCTTACGGAAGAGGATTGTGAGCATGTTGTAGTAGGCAACATGTATGTTTTCATTGTTAAAATGGTGAAGTAGAGTCTCTCCTTATCAAAATAAGGAGAGTTGAGTTGCCTGTTACCAGTATCACAGCTACCTGGACTTCAGTAGATAGTGAGCTGTAATCCTCGTGCGTTTCAGTGCTCTTCTTAATTTCTCCTTGCATTACTTTTCAGCAATGGGCGAGCAGTGCATTACAATGGCTCCAGCCTGCTACAGTGGAAGAGTGTTAGACTGGATGTGACTCTTTCTCCTGGTACGTAAGAGTACAGCTAACTTCCTGATTTACCAGATAAGCAAATCCTCTAAATGTAAAGGAAACAGTGGATGAGAAAAAAAGATTAAATCCATGTTCTTCTTTGGATGATTCTATTTTTCTGCAGGGGATGTAGCAGGAATTGGGTGGGAAAGAACAGAAGGGACTCCACCCCCTCCAGGGCAGCCAGCTAAAGGCAGAGTTTATTTTACATACTGTGGGCAGCGACTTGGGCCCTATCTAGAAGATGTCTCTGGTGGAATGTGGCCAGTTGTCCACATTCAGAAAAAGGTGAGTTTTTAACAGAAATACATTGCTTCATACATATTTTTTTTTCAGATATATTAAAATTATATAGAAAGTATTGTGCCTGCTCATGTATCTATAAAAAAGTAGAGTGGTAGTTTTTACCCTTACTGAGTTAGGTTGAGGTGTTCCTTTACCCTTCCTAGGTGCATATAGATGCTTTGCCATCATTTTCAACCTTCCTGTTAGGACACTAATGAGCAGAAATGCCATCTCATCAGACCACTAATGGCTTGACAAGATAGCATTATTCTGTGCTAGTAGCCTTTCTATTAGTATTCCTTCCCAGCAATGACCTTGCTTCAAAGAATACCAGCTAATTGTGCTGTATCTTGAAGCTAGAAGAAAGGCAAGTTTGAAGTTTGTGTTTAGAAGCTTACTGCTTTCCCTGCTGCAGCCAGTTTTATAGCTAGTGCTGCTGGGAAAGCTGTATGGCATGGAGATGTAATCAGTTTCTCCTTTTGGCTGAGGTTTTTAAAAGAGCAAAGAGAAGGATCAAAACAATCCACAGCTCATCTCAATGCTTTTATGTTCATCTTCCAGAACACAAAGGTCCGTGCGAACTTTGGATCTCGCCAGTTTGCCTATGCTGAAGGACAGGCTCACAGGAACGCTGCTGATCTCTGCATTGACCTCGCTGAAGAAATCAGTGCCAATTTTGAAGCATTGCCTTTTGCCATGGCTTCTGATAGTGATAATGATGCTGGCACCAGCATCGCTTCGGATCCTGGGACCCATGGACCTCCATGTAGAATTGCAGCCGTTGCTACAGCTCAACAACGTAAAGTGATGATTAACTTCTTTTAAATCTCTTTCAGGGGAAATTACAGTCAGTTAAATAGAGTTTAAGCATATCTTTGCTGCAGTCCTTAGATACTGCCAGTTCAGGTTAAGAAGTATGATAGGCATTGCATACTGACTAGATTTTAGACAAGGCAATTAAAAAGATCTTTCTTTGGTCTTTCTTTTGTAGAGATGCACAAATTATTCTCAGTTAATGCAATATAACGAGAAATTACCTTATCAGGGCTCTGAATACAATAAGATGTTGATTGAATCAGCCAATTGGTTATGCTGTGTCAAAATGCCTTAGACTTCCATAGACTGATTGGAGACCATGGAACACAAAAACTGCATGGATATTGTAGCATGTCTTCTAGTGCCTTATGATCTCGCTATTTCCCTGTGTGTTTTGCAGAATATGACAGTGACACATCTTGCCACTATAAAATGGAGCTAAGTTATGAGAACTTTATCACATCAGGCCCCGATCCTCATCCCCCTCCTATTGCAGATGATGAAAGTGATGATGATGATGACGATGACATTCCCCGGGTGAGGAACATGGCAAGCTCTGCCTGCTGTAACTTGTAGTCTAAATGCAGATCTTGTAACTCACATTTTTAAGTTTCGCTGCACAAAGGTTCTCCCTGCTTCCTTAGGGAAAATATAGTGGCTGTTAACTTCTATTTCTTCTTGGTTTTCTATGTAACTTCTGTCTTTTCAGGAGGATCACTATGCCCTGTTGGTTAAAGCCTGGGAAACTAAAGTTTTCCCTACAATTAGAAGAAGATTCCGTAATGAGGCTGAGAGGAAGTCTGGGTTGGATCAGATTAAAGGAGCTTTGCAGTTAGGTATGGCCATGTTTATTTCAATGCATGTTGTCTTGTACGATGTTAGTAAGAGTGAATGGAGGCAACACCTGCGTTTCTTTTATGTTTTACTATATTAAGGGCTGCAAAATCTAAATTGAAGAAAAAAGTACTCAGTGTTTTCATCAGGTGCTTAGAATTTGGATTTGTAAATGAACACAGGTCTAACATGACCACCTCTTTGTGGGGAAGCCACAGTAAGAGCAAAGTAGGAATTCTGAGCCCCGATGAGCAGTATACAAGTATCTCAGGAAAGCTCTACCCCCTGTCTGTCAGCCTGACAGCTTATGATGTTAATGAGAATAAGAAGTTACTTCAGATGGCTGGGGAAATAACAGGCATTCCCTTCTGTCCACCAGGAATGGTTGATATAGCACGACAAACCGTAGAATTCCTCTATGAGGAAAATGGTGGCATCCCAAGAGACCTCTACCTTCCCACTATCGAGGATATCAAAGATGAAGCAAACAAATTTACAATTGATAAAGTACGAAAAGGTAAGATCGGGAAAAAGGATTTTGAGGGGAAAATAGCAACTGAGGGGCTCTGGTACTTGGGATCTACTGCATAAATTGCCCATCTGAGGAAAAAGCTGCACCCTAAAAATCATGTTGTCCCTTTCTGACCAGGTCTCACAGTGGTGACTCGCTCTCCTGACAGTAACAACATCACCAGCAGTGCTGTGGGAACAGCTTTACCCAAGTTTGCTATTCGAGGGATGCTGAAGACATTTGGTCTTCATGGTGTTGTCCTGGATGTTGATTCAGTGAGTAAAGATACTCTGGGAGGACTTCTAATGTACCAGCCTCACACATCTGTGAGCAAATGTGATTAAGTGGACTGAACTGCTTAGAATGCTGATGTGGTGCTCTTTCTGAAGGAAACAGGTATTACCATGACTGTTTATTGACAGTGTTGGTTTTGGTGTTCCAGGTAAATGAATTGGTCCAAGTAGAGACTTATCTCAGAAGTGAAGGAGTTCTGGTGAGATACTGGTATCCTATTGACATGTTGGAAAGGCCACCAGCTGGTTATAGGAGGACTGCAACAAATGGATTGGTTACCCTGGATAATACCAATATCCAAATTCACAGGTAAAAAAAGGAAAAGAAATGGAGTTAGAAGGCATTTGTATTATCTGACTTGATCTATAGCATTTCCTATAGCACAGTTAACTACTACAGCCTTGTTTTAAGCAGTTGGAAACTTCTGAATCTTATTGGGGTTGTTGGATTAAAGCTGACAAAGAGTCATTAAATCTGAATGTATAAATGAGTAGTGGGGTTTGAGTTTTCTGGGGGTGCTTTTGTAGTAAAGGAAATGTATTACAATTGTCTTCTTGGAAGGATTTTACTTAGCCATGTGCTAGTGTTTTAATAAGTGCTGGTACAACAGGTATCTTCCTTGAAGCTTGGGTTTCTTGTACTATCAGTCAGTTGCTATCTAGAAGCTGAAGAACTCTTGACTGACTGTGAGGGTTGGCTTCTAATTCAGGTGCTTTAATTTGGTATCACGATGGGCTGAGTGCTATCTTGAGCAAACAAGAAAGATTTGGGTCTACTTAAGCCTTAAATAATGAAGTGTATGTATGTTTGGCTGCTGGTTAGGGCTTATTTTAATTGTGATGAAGCAATTTTATGTTCTGATGTTTGTGTTTTGCAGAGAGCTTTTGCGCAGTGAAGCTTCCCTGGCCAAGCTGTACTGCCGCATGGCTCTCCTCAATATCTTTGCTCCCAAATCTCCACATATGTTTACTCGGCTGTTCCATATTCCTGCTATCCGTGATATCACTCTGGAGCACCTGCAGCTGCTATCCAATCAACTGCTTGCACCACCTCTTCCTGGTAAACACTGGTTTTTGTCCCAGCTCTCTTCTGGTACCATAGTTTTCTGGGGACAGAAAAGTCTAATGAATTTGTCACTTACTGATTAATTAAATACTGATGGTGTCTGGAAAATGTCTCAATGTGCTCCTAACTTTAGTGATAAAGTACTAAACTGAAATTCTTGCTAAGGATCTAATTACAAGTGCTCAAGAGAGTTCAGAGTCCTCCCTAAGATTCCATGCAGTGTCCTTCTGTTTCTCTGTCACTGATAATGTTCTGTTTATTGGGGAGTGGGGGGAGCATTCATACGGGATGCTGATAAGGAATTGAGAGTGTTTTATAGTTCCAATCCAGGGCAGTAAAACTAAATACCAGTTGGGTGTCTCAGTTTTCAAAATGCAGCTCCTTTCATTTCACAAAGGGGTTTGTCCTTTTCCCACTGGAATCACAGATCTGGTTAGGGAATGCATGTGATGAATCATGGAAAAGAATCTTTGGCTAATTCATGAGTGTTAACAAAGACTTGTTATCGTGACGAAGCTATTCTGCATGCAATGAAATCTGTGTGGCTGGAGCATAAGGAGGAAGTGCTAAATATAGGCTATTAATAGTTGAAAGTAATTATTTCCCATTGGAAAGAGTCCTGTTCCCTCCTCCAGCCTCTTTGAAACTTGGCTACCTCTAACTGATGCCACATTGTAAAAGATCCTCTTGCAGAGTACAGCACTACTTTGCATGGACTTTATTTAGTTTTCCCTCTTTACAATCTGTCCAATTCAAATCCTGCCACTATCCACAGTTTCCAAACTGGTGTTTTGGTGAACTGCCCACTCCTTTGTGTGCCACACTTTGCTTTTCTCTGTCTTCTCCCATTAGCTCCAGGGTGGCAGCCATGAGATGTCAGGGCTTGCGACCCACTTGCGGTCACCCAAAGGCTATCTTGTTCATATATGGGGAAAGCTTGAGAGGAGATAAAGCTGCTTTTACCTCATCTAGAATGAGTGGGGAAGAGGGTTTTTCTGGTTCCATGTCCTCATTGTACTTCGCAGTAAATTGCAAGACATCTGCCTTCGTAGGTGGGACAAAGTAAGCCCACAGCTCTGTGCGTGTGAGAAACCTCCCCAAGGGTTAGCCTGAGGCAGAGGAAAAGCACAGCTGGCATTTAGAGAGCCAACCCATCTGCAGCCAGCTTTGTTAGGGGTGCAAGTCTAGCCTTTCTACTGCTGACCTTTGGGAGGACGTTTGCTCAGGAGTGAAAACAGAGGCTTTGTAACCTGAAGTGTTTTAAAACTTCTCTTTCCGCTGTCTGTTTTACAGGCTACATAAACGTGTTGATCTCCAAATTTGTCACATCTTACTTGTTATTGCAGATGGAACAATCAGTTCAAGCTCTATTCTTTTGGCCCAGTCCCTGCAACACTGTGTCCACTCCCAGAACTGTGCTGCCACAGACCTCTTCTACCAGGGCAATTCACAAGCCATCAGAGAGTGGCTCACTGTTGCCATCACTCGGACGCTGCATCAAGGAGAGGAGAGTCTGTTAGACCTCACTAAACAGATCTGCTCCTTTCTGCAGGTAAAACACTTAGTAATGTTTTATGAGCAGTGTTTTTCTTTTTTGAGCAGCCTTTGTTTTATGTGTGATTCTAACTTCCATAATACATCCCTCATGCTGATTTGTTTCTCTGGATGGATTGTATCCCTATCCTGATGACAGTGGGCACACTGAAAACACAAGTAAGAGCAATACTCTGGATCATATTAAAATGAAGTGGCCTCACACTATGTCAGTATTTAGAATGCTGTATTCTATTTGAAAACAGAACAGGGAGGTGGTTTGCTGCTGTTGCTGCTTGGGAGCTTTCATTATGAAATGTTATGTTACAGGCAGCACCAGAACAATTTCCTGCTGAAGAATTCCCAATTTCAGAATCCAAGGTCAATATGGATGTTAATTTTCCTGGGGCTGCATTTGTAATTGTGTCCTGTAAGGAAAGTCAGTCTGGATTCCGCAAAGAGTGAGTAATTGAGGGGCCAAGATGAAAGATTTGCTACTGAGCCTCTGTGAACCCTGAGTTATGTAGTTGGTTTTGTCTTCTCAGAGGCTCATTTTCTGGGTGGTGGGATAAATGCCTCAGAGTGTTCCATCTTCTGTGACTGGGTTGGGATTGTTAGTAGCTAGTTACAGTCTAACCAAACTCTTCTTGCTCTTTCCTTAGTTCATCCCTGTATAAAGCTCCTTGGGCTCGAGTGCTTGTCTATGGGCTTGGCCATAAAGTCAAAAGGAATGGTCAGTTAAACCTAATAGAGGCAGTGTGCTATCCTCGAGATGCCTCTCCAACCAACACAGGCCTAACACCTCCCCCAACAACCAACCAGTACCCCTCAGTGATCACCCCTACGGACAAGGTCCACATCAAACTAGGTAAAACAATAAGATTAAATTAAATTCCCTTTTTCGCTGTATTCTCAGGAGTGGAACAAGCATCATCATTATATCTGTAGGCCCTTCCTATATTATCACCAGTCCCACCACTGGTTATGACAGCATTTTTGTACAAGGTATTAAGAAACATGTCCTAACAGAAATATGCACTCATTCTTAACCAGCAAAGCATGGTTTTGTAGACTTTGCATTCCATCTGACTGATTTTGGTAGTTCTGTTAAATCTGTCAGGATCTGCTTTTTGTAAGTAATTGTAGAGCCCTTTCATATGCAGAGTAATTTATGTGCAGTATAGTAGCACATAGGTCATGCCAGCTCCTTGAGTGGGAGCAACCATTAATACCCTTTTAACTCTTCCAGCATAAGGGAGAGAGAGCGTGATTTATGTAGAGAAGTGAAGGTGACCGAGGGCTATAAGCTCTTAGAACTTTCCATCAGAGGTTCTTAAGTTCTTCTGCTGAACGACAGCATCTCTGATGCTTTTCTCAGTACTGATCATGTGCATCATACTACAAAAAATGGGTTTGTGAAAGTCTTATATGTATTTAGATATGTACAGGCTAAAAGAAAATCTATTTTGTATGTTGTGTAAACAAACTGTACCTTTATAATTATTATACTTAATTACAAGTGTAGCATTATAGATAAACACTCCTAATTGTTTATTATAAGGTACTTAATAGAGAAAATTCTCACTTAGCATAAATTTAGCCTTAAAAAAAATCCTAAAAGCTGTGTTACTGCTTTTACTTTACAAATGCCTGGAGTCATGATAAGTATTGTCTTTGACTTCTTTGCTTAGGAGTATCACCTCCTCCTGGAGCTGTGCTGGTCTTGCATTCTCTTCCACTTGAATTCCCCCTGGCAATGGCATTCACAGAGCAGCTGTTAACTTGGAAATTGGAAGATGGGGATGGAAAATCAGAAGACGAGCTGGATACTATTCCTGCTTCAGTTCTGTTGCAAGTAGTGGAATTTTTAGGTGAGATTGCAGTATGTACTCAGTAATAAGCACCAGTAATGTGCTGGTTCAGACAGAAAGTTTGGGGAAAAATGAAAAATTGCAGCAAATATTGAAATTATCTTCAAACTCCAGCTATTCCCTGTTGATAGGCACTTGTTGGAATAGCCTTTCTGGCTGGCTGGCTGCTGACATGCAGCCGCTGAAATCACGTTTCTTTGTGCTTTTCTTAATGTTACTGTTGCGACTCATTATAAAGCTACTAACAGTGAAATACTGCTGACTCCCATGTCTTATCTTCCACACACAGGCAACTTTCTCTGGACAACTGACATGGCAGCATGTGTGAAGGAGTTAATATTTCACCTCTTGGCTGAGCTGCTTCGTAAAATTCACAATCTGGAGCAGAAGAAGAATCCAGCAGGATTGTCATCTTCTATTGCCCTCCAGCTGAACCCCTGCCTGGCTATGCTGATGGCCCTGCAGTCAGAACTTCACAAGCTGTACGATGAAGAAACACAAAACTGGGTGTCTGGAAATGCATGCAGTGGTTCTGGTGTTGGAGTGGCTGACCAGGGAAGATTTTCAACCTACTTCCATGCTCTGATGGAAGTCTGCCTTGCTGTAGCAGAAGTAACCTTACCTATCAATATGAGCGTAACAGCTAATGTGATGTCTTCGACAAGTGCCCCAAATCTTAGTGACTCTTCATCCTCCTCTTCATCCTCTCCAGGACAGACACCACAGAGTCCAAGCTTGCTGTCAAAGAGGAAGAAGGTCAAAATGAAGCGGGAGAAGACATCGTCTTCAGGCAAACGGTCTTCATCCAGAGCAGCTGACACAGATGCTGCAATCCTCAGTATAGGAGGAAGCAAGCCTGAGGATATGTTATGGTTTCATAGAGCGCTGACTCTGCTTATAATTCTCAGACACCTAACGAAGAAGGATCCACAAGGACTGGGAGTGACAAATGATGCTGTAGCAGATGCATGTCAGGCACTGGTAGGTCCCACAGCTCACAGCCGCTTGCTCGTCATTTCTGGGATACCAACTCACTTGGAGGAGAGCACTGTCAGAAGTGCCATCAGAAAGGCATGTAATGCACATGGTGGAGTCTTCAAAGATGAGATCTACATCCCTCTGCAGGAGGAGGATCCCAAAAAGATTAAGGACAAAGCAGAAGGAGGAGAGTGCAGAACTGAACTGGAAAAACCAACTGTTTCCAGCAGTGCAGACAGTCTGGATATCAGCAGCTCCAGCAGCGTCACCCCTGCCATGAGTGTCAGTGCTTCCGCATCCACCAGCCAGGCTTCCCTCTGCAGCTCACAGGGCATATCCCGGACCATTAGTGATATCTCAGTTGACCAGTTTCAAGCTGGGTTGGAACTGGCCATCCCACCAGGATTGCTAGAGCCACACGTCATTTCCAGCCAGGAGAGTCTGGATCTTTCCCACTGCAGTACTGGCAGCCTTGGCAGCCTCGGCAGCCTCGGGGAGCCACTGGACAATGTAGAAACAGCGTCTGTGTCTGATGTGGGATCCATGTACACAGTCACATCTCTGGACAACCAGCCACTGCTGTCACGGCCAATCAAAGGTTTTGCTGTAGTGGAGGTAATGGCTCCTGTCAGGAAGGGGTGTCTTGGGTTAGATCTTTCTGAAAGAGTAAGAACTGGTTCTAGTAACTGTTTTTTTAACCTCTGGTTTGGGGGAGCACTGTAGTTTTGTGGTTTGTGTGCAACACTGTGAGCTGAGTGTTGTGTGTTTCCTTCTGTAAAGGTTCTTCTGCTTGACTGAGGCAACAGCTTGAGTGATGGAGAGTGAAAGGCTCTGTTAGCACCGCTGAGGTGCAGCTCAGCAGAGGTCATGGGTACAGAATACACATACGTGCATGTGAGACTAAGGAGACCAGGAATTCTCATCTTGGTCAGGATGGCTGAGGGACACAGAACTTCATTCTCCATTGAATTTCTCTGTACCAGTCATCTCAGGAGCATTCACTGCCTCTCAAAGGACGGAGGGGACCTAGCAGTGGAGTTACCAAGTGGCAGTTTAAAACCAGAAGGAAGCGCTCCCGCATGTCCCAAGCTGTAGAGCTTGTTGTCACAAGCTGTTGCGGAAGCCAAGAGTATAAATTAATCCCTAAGGGATTAAGTTCATGGAGGATGTGCAAATTGGAAGCTATTAAGCACAGCAGTCACTGCAGCCTTCAGTTCAGGAAATCTTTAAACTGATTTCTGAAGGCTGAGAGAATATATAAAGGAAAAGATGTATTAATTTCCTCTTTCATATAAAACTTGCTTCAAAGATTTGCTACTGGACATTACTAGAGATTAATTTAGAGATAAGTGGCCCTTTAGTTTGACCAGCAAGGCAATTATTTAATGTTTCATGACTACATTCTCGCATATTAAACCAGCTACAGATTCCTCGATGAAGTTACTTTAGGAGACATGATTATATTGATGGCTGGTTCCAAATTAATTTTTCAAAGCACTGGGAGTGCTGTCATTGATGCCAGATCACTCCAGGTTTTCAGCCACGCACAAGAACCCTTCCTCTCCGTTGTTACACAGACTGCATGCTGCAGCTTTATCTGGAGCTCACAAAAGCACAGCCATTTCTGATAGCTTGTGAATGTGGAGAGACGTTTCTGCATAGTCTGGGATTGTATCTGTTTCCCTTTTAGAAGAAAAGGAGCTTATTCAGATAGAAAACCTTCAGCTGCTATTCTTGAGCTATTAATTGACATGAAGACACCAGACTTGAAGTAAACCATGAAGTGTGTACAGAAAGCTGTCAGCTTATTCACGTTGAAACCTACTCCAAGTCTGTGGCTGCTCTGATAATGATTCATGGTGGTTATTCTTGGAATCAAAGGATGTTATTGTTCCTGTTCCCAATTTGTGCAGCTGAGACTTCAAGGCCTGTGCTAATTTAAATACACTTTTCTAAGTGGAGAATCAAAGGCAGGACAGCAGAATTGCAGATAATGACAGGTTACCTACCTGCAACTTTCTTATCTGCTATTTCTAAGGGATGTCTCCAGACAGATGGAGTAGCTGGTTCAGAGCTGTGCCTGATTAACTCATAGCATGGTGATTTCAGTTGCCAGGTGTTGTTCTTAAAATGATGTTTTCTGGCTGACCCTGAATTCTGGTGTTGAATTATTGCTATAGAAGAATGCTGGAAGAGATGTAATAGTGATTATTTACTTGGGAAGGGAAGAATGTATAAGACCCAAATTGATATAAATAGAAGTTACTTTGCTTTGTCAGAATTCCTGGTAACTCATTTCATTATTTGTACAGATAAGGTCAAGAGCTAAAATAGAGAAGATCCGAGCCAGTCTGTTTAATAGCAGTGACCTCATTGGTTTGTCAAGTCTGGATGGTGAAGATGAACTGATGGAAATGTCAACTGAAGAGATTTTAACTGTTTCTACTGTAAATCAGAGCTTATTTGACACACAAGGGAGCCCAGCACTAGAAGATTATTTCAATGATAAGTCAATAAAGGGTAGGTGGTTTTCATATTGGCATATATCTCATTTACGTATGTTGAGGGGGGGACATACAGGGCTCAGATTTTCCTGCCTACTGTAAATCCAGTGTGAGTCACTCACTGATGGGTGACATTGAGGGGGAGCCAAGGAGTAAGTTTAATTTCACAGCACGTTTCCTCCCTCTCATCAGCTGGCAAGCAGCTATCTGCAATCTGAGCATTGCTCAGCTGTCCTCACAGCTTAATCAAACAGAACTAAAAACCCCACAAAAACCTCCCCAACAACCCCCCAAAATCTACTGACTGGGTTGTTTAGTAGCGTTTTTTAGACACAGCATAATTTTAGAGTAGAAACTGTTGCAATAGAACAGTTAGCATTTTATCTTAACAGCATGAAAGCTATACAGCCCCAATACACCTAGAGTGGGCCAGGATCCTGAGTCAGAGAACAGAGGAGGATTAAGTTAGAGGAAGTTCTGTTGGCTGCTTGTTCAGTTGGTAGTCAGGGTGTTACCTCCACAGCATCATTTCTATACTGGCATCATAAATAATCTGCTTTTTTCATTACCACTGAAGTACTCAAATAACAATTACAGTATGTGGCCAAAGCAGGAGAAAGCATTCAGTTCTCTTTCATAAATAGGGTATTAGACTGCAGAAAGGTCAGGGCTGCAGGACTACTTCTAAACAGGCAAAGTTTAGACTGGATATAAGGAGGAAATTCTTTCCTGTTAGGGTGGTGAGGCACTGGAATAGGCTGCCCGGGGAGGTGGTGAATGCTCCATCCCTGGCAGTGTTCAAGACCAGGTTGGATGAAGCCTTGGGTGCCATGGTTTAGTGTGAGGTGTCCCTGCCCACGGCAGGGGGGCTGGAACTGGATGATCTTAAGGTCCTTTCCAACCCGAACTATTGTATGATTCTATGATGTTCTCAGAGCCAGTGGCATTCAGCTCAACGCAAAATGTTTGTTCACGTTTCAAGTTCTAAGCAGTTGTCTGTGCCATTTTGTACCATATTGCCTTTGTTTTTAATACATAGGTGAGAAACTGGTGCCAGGAGCTCGGGAGGTCCTCACAGAAATCTTCAAGAGTTGTGTCCATTCTGAGCAAATGCTGAGCCTAACTCCAGCCAAACCCATTAAGGTCGCTGATATCTATCTTAGTAAAGAGCAGATAAATTCTCAGACCCCTGGAAACCTTCTTCACTTGTTCTTCACAAATGTCCGCCCTCCAAAGAAGGTGCTGGAGGACCAGCTTACTCAGGTAGTGCTTGGAAAACGCTTTTTCAGCCTCTCTCTTGTGTTATTTGAAAGCAGTGGGTAATTATTCACCTTCTATCTTGGAAGATTTTAAGGAAATACGGTGTGCCCAAGCCGAAATTTGACAAGAGCAAGTACAACAAGGCAGGCAAAGAACAGCACCCAGTGAAGGTTGTGAGCACCAAGCGCCCGGTTACTAAACCACCTACAAAGGAGAAGTCTATGCTCAACAGTGTCAGGTTGGTGCCTTCAGCCTTTTGGCAGTTGCAACACGTTTGATTTCCCTTTAGGAATCCAGTTTTTTATTCCTCCCTCTCTCTGTATTCCAATTTATGGATTGGAAGAGGGAAATGTAACTTTGAGATTATAGAAGGCCTTCAAGGAACATTTTGGTTTCTTGAAGAGATCAAAGAAAGCTTGCATCCTAACATTCCATTTGTCCCTCAGCCGGACAGCCTTAAGTGAGAAGAAACCTACTGTAAAGCCCAAATCTCCTGAGAAGAGCAAACCTGAAGAGAAGGACCCTGAAAAGTCTCCCACAAAGAAACCAGAAGGTAGCAGCTCTATGGAGTTCTTCCGTGGTATTACATCGTAGTAAAGAAATACTTTTTTTGGTGTTGGTATGCTTATATGATGTCATGAGAGATTTGGTTTGTCCGTGGTTTTAATGAGGCTAACTCATTTACTTTAGTGATTTAAAATGCTGCTTTGATTTGTATATCTAAATCTGGACTCGGTGTAAGTGAAGGCAAACCATGTTCATGTCATTCATGCAGCAGTGTGCATAGGCCATGCGAATGCAATTGGTGGAGAGCTGATTTCCCAAGAGGTGTAGTTTAGAGGCTTGTTTTGTGCAGTGGGGGATTAGGATATCATTAGGGGCTTTTGAACTAGGTGGGTTTAAATCATGTTTCTCAGATGGAAAAATTATAAAGTTACAAGAGGAAAACTGGATGAAAGAGAAGCTTCAGGTGCCTCGTAACTAGTCTGTCTGTGGAGGAAATGGCACAGTCATGCCATGACAGAGATAAGTTCCAGGTTCTTGCTTGGTATTTGTTTCTCTAGTCAGGTAGAAGAGTGAATAGACACAAGCTTGGACTGTGCTCTACATTGTAGGAAATGCCAGGTTAGTTCAGAAGAAAGGAATTTCAGCATTCAGCCAAGTATGGATTCTTGATATACCTGGTTAGGTGCATCGGTGGAGCTGTTCCAGAGGGCAGCTGAGGAATTGGTGTCCTTGAAAGGAAAGAATGAGCAGCGTTTACCAAAGGCCAGATTGGACCTGAATAACATGCTTAGAACTATGGGAGAGAGCAGCCATGGTGGGATGGGTAGAACCAGGAGAAAGCTGACAGGTGACACCTCAGACACCAGCCATTTCCCTGTGTGGTGTGTAAACTCTGTAGTAAGTCATTAACTCTTTGATGGTTCTATCTTTGCTGTCAGTTCCTGAGGAGAAGTATTTGACCCTGGATGGATTTCACAGATTTGTGGTTGACCGATCGAAACAGGACATCCGTAGTGTGTGGAGAGCTATTCTGTCCTGTGGATATGATCTGCATTTTGAAAGGTGGGGTTTGCAAGTCTTTTTGCAAAGGTGGTACTGATTGATTGTGCTGACTCAATCCCAAATGTTCCTGCTCCGAGGAGCTTTAACCAGTGTGTGGGTGTTTTCTTAAAACACGCTTAAAAAGTCACTGCTGTCCAAATGCAGGTTCTGACTTTCTTGTACACAACACAGCTAACAAAATCATATGCCACGCTGTCCTTCATAGCTTCCAAATGGACAATACATGGGCCTGGTGAGCATTGTAGAGCCATCTGTCTCTGGTTTTTCTTCCACAACAGCTTTCTCTTCTGTGTGCCGGGTGGTTGTTTAAACTGGCAGTGCTGCTGCTGGGTCAGTAGTGATGTAGAAGAGGGCACAGTTATTTCCTTGTTAATGTTGTACAGGAAGAAAGTCCCTTAAATGAATCCTCCTTATCTCCCTGTGTCAAGCCACAAGCTAATTGCCACATCCCCTTCTCCTTTATCTGCTTCAGAACATAAAGAACATAGTGCAGTGAGTGAGCTTAATAGGCAGTTCCTTTTGTCTTATTAATTAATAACAATGAGGCAAAGCAGATGATAAATCAGTTCTTATTCTCAAGCTGGAATTTCTGTAAGGAAACAGCTCTGCTTAAGAAACAGGGAGAGAAGCAGAACAAGCCTGGTGTTGTGCTCAACATATGTTTAGTAAGCAGTACTGCAGTTAGGTTTCAACAGGTCTTACACCTTTTATGTTTCAGGTGTGCCTGCATTGATGCAAGACACGCTCAGAAAGCATCCCGCAAATGGACCCTGGAAATGGATGTAGCCCTTGTCCAGTACATTAACAGGCTTTGTCGTCACCTTGCTATTACACCAGCACGACTCCATCCCCATGAAGTTTATTTGGATCCAGCTGATGCAGCAGATCCTAGAATTTCCTGTCTGTTGAGTATGTGTGGATGATTTGCATAGGGGCTTTCCTCACTGGAAGAGCTGGGTAGTGCTCCTGAACACCCTGGCTGTCGCTCAGGCAGCTGAAATGTTCCTTTGGAGGTTGCAGATTGGACTCCGTGGGCCGAGGGGAGCACTGAGTCTGGGTCTTCTCTTTCCCTGGGTGTGCTTGGGCACTGTGGTGCCTTTGGCAGCATTGTTAGAAACACACTGTGCTGTTCTCTGCTCTCCAAGCACACATCCTAGGTCAGGGTGGAGGAGGAAGTTACCTGGTGAGTTCAGCTTGGAGAGGGAAGAAAGGCTGGGTTTCAAGTCTGGACCTAGGCAGGCTTTATTCACCTAAGTCTTGCTCTAAGCACTAAGTTCCTTTAAAACAATCTGCAGATAATCCAAAGTCAGTGATGCTAAAAGACACCCAGAGACTCAAATCCAGGAAGGAACATCATGGATCATGGCTGTTCTTGCATCTCCAGTCCTCTTGTTGATGTGCAGGCATCAGCAGGAGGCTTGCGCGGCTCCCGGAGCGAGCCTGCTGGGAAGGTGGGCTTTGCAGCAGGTAGGGAATTCTTTCTGACTGGATGTTTCCCACCCCAGATGTTCCCGTTGAAAGCCTACGCCTGCGGTTTGCACTGCTCCAGTCTCTCAACACGACCTTGGAGACGTTCTTCCTGCCGCTGGTGGAGCTTCGGCAGACGGAGATGTACGCGAACAGCATCGCCGCACTGCTGCAGGAGGCCAAAGGTCAGGTCCTGGGGAACGTCATCTCTTGGCATCCTCCTTGTCATTGAAGTTGTAGAATTAGATCGCGAAAATCCTTATCAAGCATCAGCATTTAAAGTCATTTTTACAAGCCTCCATCAACAACAAAACCAAGATTTAGGTCATTACATTTCCCAAACTTGTTTTCTTCTGGAGAAGTAGATACAGAAGTCACCAGAGGTATCAATGTGTGTAAGTGGGTTTTACATTGGCCCAGCTAGAAAAACACCTTATAAACCCAGCAAGGGGAAGTGAAGAATATTCCAAGGTTTGTCTTTATAGAGCCTCTCTTTATGGTGCAGTGTGACAGCCCTGGTTTTTGTCCTGTTTTGTTGCCTCTGCCATTACTGTCAAAGCACCTTGGATTCGTGAGAGCTATTTGGCAAAGTGCTTCTGATTTACAGAAATTCACTCTGCTTTCTGATGGGGTTTCTGGGATCTATTTATGTACCCTTAGAATTGTGTCCAGCAGTGCTCAAAGCCACTGCACTTCTTCCAGTAAACATCAGTAGCACATGCTTCAAGTAAAAAAGATGTGGATTAGCCACATCTCACCCACCCGATGAAGGTGGAGTCATTGTTCTGCTGTTGTCCATTAGAGGGTTTCAGAAAACAAGGATAGAAGGATAAATGAACTGCACTGAAACGTGTTCGTTTCTTTAGGTTTAATCTTTTATGACACAAAAGTAACGGTAATGAACAGAGTGCTGAATGCCACTGTGCAAAGAACTGCTGATCACGCAGCTCCAGAGATCACCCTGGATCCCTTGGAAATCGTTGGAGGTACGGGAAACCTTGCTCCCGTTCAGAATCCCTTTGAACCCATTGCAAACGATTGGGTCTGGTTTAACCAAGCTCGGTTATTAACGCACCCTCCTCTGAGTACGGGGACTGTAACCGTACCTTTCCTTTGCAAGCAGGGGAGATCCGCTCCTCGGAGAACTCCTACTTCTGCCAGGCTGCGCGGCAGCTCGCCTGCGTGCCGTCCTCCCAGCTCTGCGTCAAACTGGCCAGCGGGGGGGACCCTACCTATGCTTTCAACATCCGCTTCACAGGGGAGGAGGTCCATGGAACGAGTGAGTTGAGATCCAGGGGGTTGGTGGACTGACTCCAGGTGGAAACCAAGTCTTCACCACACTGTGGCTCATGTTAACTCAGGAGCAGCGTTACCGTTGTGGTGTCTGTAGTCCTGCAGGTGGAAATAGCGAAGCTTCCAAGCGTTCGGCCAGCCAGGTGGTTGCCTTCCATCTTTGCTAATACAGCAGGGAGTGTGGCTGCAGCTCTGACTGCAGCGAGTCAGTAGAGCAATAATAAGTTGTTAAAAGCATTTAGTAAGAACGTCTCTTCAGGTGGTTTTGATGCTTGGCCATGGTAAACCTGCACTGTGCTAACAACAAAGATGATTGGGGTTTTTTAAGCACTTTCTTGTTAGCAGTGGGCTGGGTAACATCACTGAGGTTTTCATGGTTGAAGTGATGTGAGGCTGTGTAGCCACTAGATTAAGGTGCCGTTAGGTACTAGTGTAAGGTGCATTATGTAGTGTAGCCATCAGGGCATAGAAGAGCAGTAACAGCTAAACATGCCCAAGCAGGGTGGCTTTGAGAACTGCTTTCAACGTGCCTTCAGAAGCGTGAACTTCTGCTTGTCCCAGCCGAGCCGAAGAGACGGAAATGGGAATTGAGTGTGAGGAGGAGGTTGTTGCTTTTGAAACTGCCCTTAATTTGTGCATCTTCCTCTTTCTCACAGGGAGATGTGCAGCATTTCTTGTAATCATATAAATAACTTTCACATGACTGGTTGAAATAATGAGCCTCATAAAGGAACAGCCCATTAACTGCCCTGATTTCACTGACCCTGCATGGACAGGCCTCTTGTGACACAGGAGCACTGCTCTGCCACAGAAAGCATTGAGCAAGAATCGTGCTTTATTCCACAAGATTATTGTATCTTGTTGACTAAAGATACATAAAAATAAAGACACTGTTCTCATTTGTGAGGTTTCATTTTACAAGATAATCTCGACGTGGATGCTGTCCAGCTCCCTTTAGATACCAACTCCTTGCGGGGTTGCAGGCTCCCTTGCATCAACGTGGGTTGACCTGCTCCAGGAAGAGGCTCAATTCAAACAGGAGCTGAGAAAACGTTGCTTTGCAGATCTGGTGAATAATTGATAGGGTATCAAAGCAAATACCAGCTGTGTCACGGGAAATGGACTGCTGCTCGCCCAGTTAGTGCAGCCTCTGTGTGCTGATGGGAAGAGCTTCTTTAGGGAGATTCATGGGGGCACATGGGGTTAGAGAAGAAAAGCCCAAAATGAGTTTTGTGTTGCCATCTACTGTCATCTGTCAGTTGTGTAAAGGAAAGCTCCTCTGTGAGCACCCATTAGCGGAACAAGGGGCTCTTTGATGCCTTCTCCCAAGGGGAATTCTGTTCTTTTAAGGTCTGTAGTGCTTATTGACAGTAGATATATGGAGATAAATGTTACGTCTACAGCTCAGCATCTGTAATGAGTTCTGAGGCATTGCCGCAGTGCTGTGAGCTTGGAAAGGCTCTGTTGTGATGAAGACAGCACCATTCATCTTCTAATCAAGTAACAAATTCCATTTGCGGCCCAACTGGTGTAACAAATGTTGGAGCTAATCTTGCACAGGGTGCTGGAAGACAAAGCAGCTCTTAGGAGTGCAGCAGGAAGCAGTTCAACGGGTATTTATTACATGTATTTAGACCATTTACATGTGGACTTGCACGTGAATAGCAGCTGGTGTGGCTGGCATCTACCCCAGCCACATGTCTGTGCATCCAGAGGTGAAGTGTGTGATCTAAGGCTTGAAACATGATTTCAGGAATGGCAGATTTGGGGCTGAAAGGCAGTGAATGAGGCTGAGGGCATTTCATGACCTTGCTCCTCTCTCTTGCAGGTGGATCCTTCCGTCACTTCCTTTGGCAAGTCTGTAAAGAGCTGCAGAGCTCCTCGCTCTCCCTGCTCCTCTTGTGCCCCAGCTCTGCAGTCAACAAGAATAAGGTGTGATAATCTCAGTGCAAGAAATGAACTTGCTTTTCTCTCTTTGAATGCACATGTTTGAACTGGAGTAGAACACATTCAGTCGGTGATAGAGAGAAGCTTCAAGTCCATTTCACCTCCTCCTGCAGGTCCTTGGAGAAGCAGCCATGGAGTCAAAGCTGCAAAGTGGAGCAGAATTAAGACTCCTGGGTGAAGCTCACTTAGACAACTGAACCAGATTCACTCTGAGTTAGAGGTTATCTGTCCCAAACTAGTGAAGTATTCTGCTGGTGTTACTCTGTAGTGTCACCAGGGAAGTCAGTTGCATTGCTAGTAGACTAAGATGCTCCATCTGAGCTATTTAATGCGTATTTAGTGCACTAGATGTATCACAAAAACAAGATAAAGCTGATGGCCCAAAGACTTTACAGCAGTTGAGGTATAGTTCCTTCCTAGGGATACTCAGAGCAGGAAACAGATCAGTGCCCTCTGCTTAAGACCTACTACATCGCAAACCTGGCTTTGCATGTCCAGGCTGTATCTTGGGAACATCCCACAGCTAAAATACTTCGATACCAAACTGATAATACAAGTACAGAGAAGTCCTGTGATTGCTGCTTAACAGCTTGTGACAGTGGGGCTCTTGAGGACACCAGCTCTATGGTAATAACGTGATACAGTCTCACTGCAGAAGTGAGCCAGGCTCCATGCCACACTGAGCAAATCCATTTGTGGCCCAAAAGGGCAATGTCCTTTTGTGGGCAGTGTTCACCACGTTCAGGTCAGGGTTTCACAAGCCTGGTAACCGCTCTGTTCCCTCAGGGCAAGTACATCCTGACTCCCAGCCCCATCACCTATGCGGAGGAGCAGCTCTTCCACTTCTTCGGGCAGCTCTTGGGTATTGCGATCCGAGCAGACGTTCCTCTGCCGCTTGACCTCCTGCCTTCCTTCTGGAAGACCCTGGTGGGAGAGCCTCTGGATGCAGACGTTGATCTCCAGGAAGCCGACATCCTCACCTACAACTACGTCAAGAAGTTTGAGAACGTAAGTCACCGTCTTCCTCTCCCCTCCTCCTTTCCACGCAAGCACATTGCTCCAGCAGGCGCTGATGGTCCTGCCTGCCCAGTGTGGAAGCCATTGGCTTCACAGCCAGTGGCTGCTTTTCTTGTGAGCAGGGTCCTGAAGGGTTTTGACTCCTCTTGGATGCAGGATTTTGCATCCTGATGGCTTGGAAAAGCTGCTCAGTCTCCTCCAGTGCCCGGCACGGTGGAGTTCAGGCTTATCAAGCGTTTACTGCAGCTTGGCAATGTTAAACCAGTAAAGAGCCACCAAAGCCATCACCGGCCTTCGCAGTCCACGGTGCCTCCAGATGATGGAGCGAGTGCACTCTGTACACTGTAGTGAGCCCGGGTGGCAGATCCTCATCCTGTGTCTCATGACAGATAAATGACGAGACAGAACTGGAAGCTCTGTGTGCAGAAATTGCTTCCCAGCACCTGGCAACGGAGAGCCCCGACTGTCCTAACAAACCCTGCTGCAAGTTCACCTACCTGACCATGACAGGGGAGGAGGTGGAGCTGTGTCCACGAGGCCGGCACATTCCAGTGGGGTAAGAAACAGCAGTGTCCTCCTTGGCAGGACGCTGCACTGGGTTACGTGGGAAAGAAGGGTCTCTGGAATTGTTTTCCAAGCACCAGGCTCTCCAGAGGTGCTTTTATGACGAGCTGAAGGCTGGAAGGATCTGGGAAGGCTTTACAATTGGCAGGAATGTGGGAGCACTGGAGCCATTTACTGCCTTTTGCTCTGTAGAGGTAGTGCTGCTCCACCTTGTGCAGGTGTCAGTGAGCACCCACAGGTAGGAGGGGTGTGAGAAATGGGTGAGTGGGAGAGGAGAGGAGGAAAGAGGAATTGAATTGGGAAGCATCAGGATGCACTTAACCTTAATGCTCGCTCCTCGTTATTCACAAGCAGAGACTCCCCATGAGGCCCCTGTCTGTACCAGTGGTCAGGGCAGGAGGGCTCCGAGGCGCTCCCCTTTCCCAGCCTGAATCCCTGCCCTTGCAGGTGGGAGAACAAGGACGTGTACGCGACAGCGATCCGGAGCCTGCGGATGCGGGAGCTGCAGACACCGGAGTGCATGACCGCGGTGCGCGCTGGCCTGGGCTCCATCATCCCCCTGCAGCTCCTGACCACGCTGACCCCTCTGGAGATGGAGCTGAGGACCTGTGGGCTTCCCTACATCAACCTGGAGTTCCTCAAGGTGAGAAGAGCTGCAGCTTCTGTGGCCAAAGGTGTCTGCCCTCCCCTTCCAACCTTTGAAGTGTAAGAGGGGAAGGTTTCCGAAGGGAGAGGGAGGGAACATCCTGCCCTTTCCCCCCAGGCACACACCATGTACCAGGTGGGCTTGATGGAGACCGACCAGCACATCGAGTTCTTCTGGAGCGCGCTGGAGATGTTCACGCAGGAGGAGCTCTGCAAGTTCATCAAGTTCGCCTGTAACCAGGAGCGAATCCCCTTCACGTGCCCGTGCAAGGACGGGGGCCCCGACACTGCCCACGTCCCCCCGTACCCCATGAAAATCGCCCCCCCTGATGGAGCTGCAGGTGAGTGACCAGGGGCTGCCGGGAGAGAATCCGTCCTGTTCACAGCTCCCCTGTTCTCCATTCAAACTGGTGTTTCATGTGCAATGACTGACACACAGGGACAGGCCGAGGGGAACGGCTTTAACCTGCCCGAGGGGAGGCTGAGATGAGCTCTTAGGCAGAAGCTCTTCCCTGTGAGGGTGCTGAGGCGCTGGCACAGGGTGCCCAGAGAAGCTGTGGCTGCCCCATCCCTGGCAGTGCTCAAGGCCAGGTTGGACACAGGGGCTTGGAGCAAGCTGCTCCAGTGGAAGGGGTCCCTGCCCGTGGCAGGGGTTGGAGCTGGATGAGCTTTAAGGTCCCTTCAACCCAAACCAGGCTGGAATTCTGTGAAAAGAGTGGCAGGTTGTTTCGGCTGTAAATAAGGAGAGAAGTTGGGTTTAAACCATGTAAAAATACAATTTAATTTAAATTTATTTAAGTTTTAATGTAAAACATTGCCTTCTAAGGACACTGAGAGACTTGGTACAGTGTTTGTCTGGGCTGCTGTTAAAATGATTGGGAAGGCTGTTGGCTCGAGGGCTGCGGAGCAGCACAGGGGCCGTATGAGAGGCTGGGGTCTGACACTGCTGTTTGTCACCGGGGGCTCAGGCAGCCATGGGCAGTGCTGGTGCATCCAACCCCTTGTGGCCCCTTCCCCGCAGGCTCTCCGGACTCGCGGTACATCCGCGTCGAGACGTGCATGTTCATGATCAAGCTCCCGCAGTATTCCTCGCTGGACATCATGCTGGAGAAGCTCCGCTACGCCATCCACTACCGCGAGGACCCCCTCAGCGGCTGAGGGAGCCGCAGGGGCCTGTGGGATGGTTCCAAGGCACCGCCACCGTTGGAAACCCCTCGATTCCCATACGGACGCCTCCTGTGACGCTGGGGGAGGAGCTGGAGGTTAATTTATTTCCTGACCTTTTCTGTTCCCGTTGATTCCTGGAGGACATTTTGTATTTGTAGACTTTGTGGTGGACTTGGTTCTTTCGCTGCCTTGTTTGTGGAATATTTGTAGGATAGCTCAGTAAAGACCAGTTTGTGTCTGATTGAATTCCGAGCCGCCTCTCCCCATAGCACCTTTCTAATCCTGTAACCTCGAAGGAGATCACCCCATTGCCAACACCACGCAAGCAAGGGGGGGCCGAGACCCAGGAGCGCTGGGAAGTGAAGGCTCCTGGATCGCTCCCCCCTGGAGCGTGTTTTGAGTTTAAAACTTGGGAAAGCCGGGGTGTTGGGAGGGAACCGCCTCGGGAGCGGGGCTGGTGCCGCTCCTGCTGCGGGCAGAGACCGTGCGCAACGTCTGGCAGAAGCTTCTGTGCTCAGGCTGGGTCGCTTCTGCCGCTGCCTTGGACTTGCATTTAACCAAGCAGCAAGCACAGGCATCGCTGCCGGGTCCATGGGGGTTCCAGCTGGACACTGGGATGAGGAGGAGTTGTAACAGAGGACAGTGAAAGGGCTGTGATTTGGGTCGGGTTCTTGCCCTTGATGTTCTTGGCTTCGTAACAGAGTAATTGATTGTGATTAAAACATGAGGAACAAAATGGCTCCTCTCTGTACGGGGCGAGAGGCACGGTCCCAGCTCCAGCTCTGTGACTTCATCCTCATCCTGAAGGAAGGACCAGCGCGTGGCGAGGCACCCGGAGCTCACTTTGTACTCACAAATGATCCAAGAACAAATCCCCCTGGCACAGTGGCACCAAGAGGAGGATGCGGCGGGGGAAGGCACCGACTCATTCCGTTGGAGATAAAGCTTCTATTTATTGTAACAGCAGACTGTGGAGAGAGAACAGCTCCCTTCAGTTAACTCCTGTACGGGGTGAGATACGGTCAGGGGCGGTTTCAAGGCACTGCATAAACCCGTTGTACGGTGTTGCCCTGCACAAGGATGGCGTTGCTGTGGTCAGCACCTGGAACCCAGCGCAAGCAGGACCCAGGAGCGATGATGGACGTTGCTGCTCGGCTCAGCACCACGCGAGTGAAGCTCAGGATCGGCCCGTCCCTTCCTCCGTGCTCAGCACACATCAAGGACGTGAAGGTCAGCGCTGGTGCGGGTGTCACTGCACCTCCAGGTTGGTGTTACCCGTCTCTTTAAAGACACCGTACACTGATGGGGCTCGTCGGTGGTAACGGGAGTGGAAAAGCTGTATTTATTGTATATTATTGTGAATATCGGGAATGACGCGTGTGTGGTACGTGGAAGATAAAGCGTGAGTAAGGGAGCAAAGCCTGCACGGGTGTGTGTATTCTTGTTGTGAGCGAATGGAACGTGTGTGCACCAGTTGTAGAGGTAGTTGGCGGTGTGTGGAGTCTCCGACTCCCGTGGTTAGGAACGCTGTTGTCACCCTCTGCTGCGTCCTACCTCTGCCAAGGACCAGGCGCACAGAGGAGGAATATTTACTCTTGATTCTTGTCCATTTCCTGGTAGAAGCATAAATGTAGCTGAGAAGTCACTGGGAGTAAGCGCAGACGTGGAGTTTACAAAGACCAGGGGCAAAGCTAAGCAGAAGGAAGGGCTCGGAGCGGCTTAGTCCCGTCGGGATGCGCGTTCCCGGGCCGGTGCTGCCGGGATGTGTATGGAATGTCGGGTGGGTTTCTCTCTGAGGGTTGGTTTGTGTCGGATGTAAATCTCCCGTCCCAAGGCTGGGCTGCTCAGGGGGGGCTGGTGGGCACGGAGCTCGGTGTGCCGGTGCTTCCCACCGCGGCTGCTGCCGTGAGCAAGGAACTGCTGCTGCCCGTCTCCTTCCCGTGAGTCGGAGCAGCCCGAGCCCGCTGCCTGCCCTCGAGGAGCGTCGGTCCCGTTACTTGATCCGTATTTATTACAGTAATTATTTATGATGACAAATAACGAACTCTTGGTCGACGCCGTTTACACCACGAAGCTGCTGAGCCAGGACCAGCCCGCACGGACTTCAGTTCCTTCAGGAGCAGGGCGCCTGCGCTGGAGCTGAGCTGTGCTGGGGCAGGGCGGCTCCAGGGTTCTATGCTCCAAGGAAGGAAGCGCTGCAGCGGTTCGACTGTCGCTCAAATGGCCTTTTAATTAAAGCTTTTCTAATCATCATTACTTCCTCGTGCTTTAAATGAACTTGACATTGTCTGTAATAGGCTTGTTTGTCAAAGCGAAGATTGGTTTGTGATGATTATTATTATTTTTTAATATATATTCATTCAGAATGTAAAATTATCCATAAATAATGGCAAACTGCTGGAGCAGGGCCGTGGTTCCAGCTGGACGCGTGTCCACCTCGGTCCTGCACACGGCGTTAACCTGTTCAGTGCTCTTGGCCATGGAGTGTACACTGCATAAAGGTGATTCCTGCCCTCCCTTCGGCTGTCCTGTGTCCTTCTTTGGGGCTGGAGATCAGTAAAGATGATTAAAGAAACCCTCCACTGCTCGGGCTGCAGGTTCCCTGCTTTGAAATCCCACTTTCTGGGGTCAGGATGCTGTACTTGAATCAGAAATGGAAATGTCTTGCACCATCATGCTCGTTCATCTCTTTACCCACCCCAGAAGCCCTCTGCTGAGCCACAGTGGCTTTCCCCAGCGCTGCCACTGGGTTTAAATACCTTTATTCTGCTTTTGTTGTACAAATAAACCCTGAAGTTTGGTGGAAGCATCCACAAAATGGATGCTTCTTTAGTTTAGAAGCAGGATTCCCTCCAACCATTGTCACTCTTTGTGCTGTGGCCTCCGTGGCACTGCCAAGGCCTCCAGCACCAGATGAGTGATGGGCTCATTAGCCCTGTTCATGCCATCTGTGCTACCTGATTAATTAGGCTGATGCCCATGGTCATTATTTAAGACCTCCAGCTTTTCCATTACCTGTTCCCACAGCACAAGGGATGTGAACACCAGCAAGGACCTAACACAGGTAAGAACAGTGCAACGTGGATGGTCACACATCGCCTCAGAACAGATCACTGCTGCACAGGGTTTGGGGACAGCATCAGATAAAGTTTATTACAGGGAATTTAAAAAGCCTGGACTCTAACGGAGCAGGGGAAAGCGTTTGCAAAGACCCCACAGGCTTGGGGCTTGTCCTGTAACACCCAGAACCCATGGCCAGGCACCTCAGGCAGACACAAGACGGAGCATCAGGGGCTGGTGCAGGGGATGCAGTGAGCCAGCCTCTGGGCTTCCACCCCTGACCCCATTGTGCAGTGACAGCCAGAGCCTGCCCTCTAAAGGACCTGGTTGAGCTCCCAGCCTTGAACAGCAAAACCTCCTTCACTGGGTGGCACAATGAGCCCCCATGGAAACATAATGCAGGTGCTGCCCACGTTGCTGTCTTGGGGTGGGGTCCAGTGCAGAGCACAGCAGTAAAAGCCTATAATACACTGTCAAAAATACAGCTATATATATATATATATAAAACACTGCCTATAAAAATTTAAACTCATAGAAAGCCTTCAATGACACGGCCATAGAGGAGTTTACTTGCGCTCGGAGAAGTAAGTAGTAGAGGGTGCAGTAACTGTGTAGAGCTAAACGTGCTTCCCGTTGGTGGTGGGTCTCTGCTCCTCTGGCTGTCCACGTGCTGGGCTCTGGGCTTTGGCCTTGAGGAAAGGGGAGAAAACAAAGTAAAAATGCAGTTGTCAAAGAGCTCTTGGTCAGAAGCAGGTGGTGAAACCCTCGATGGAAGGGCTAAATGGTCCTGGTGCAGCCACCACGAGGGTAACAGCCAGGCCCTGCCCTCCCAGCCCCAGCCTCACCTTGGTGTTCCTGCACCTGAGGCTGCCTGGACGTTCCCATGCCCCAGGGCTCCTTCCTCCTCCGTTGCTGGCCCTGGAGGGTGAACAGGGACACATTCTGAGGCAGGGAAGCCTACCCCCAGCTGCAGGGCCCTCCCTGCAGGCAGACACAGGCCCCTCCCAGCAGGGACCCTCTGGAAGCCCTTCATGCTTTTGCACCCTGACTGGGCAGCAACAGAACCAGATCTTATGCAAAGAGCACTGAGGGAAGCAAAGCTGAGAGCATGGCGACAGATGAGGAAGCATTATCCTATGTGTTCTCCCAGTGACCAATTTCTCCATTCTGTGTTGATACAAAAGCTTGAGTTTGCTGTTTGCAACTCAGGCAAGCCCCAGCCCAGTTAAACTGAGTGAAACCCGTTCAGTCACAAGCAAATAAACAGGAAGGAATCCAGATTTGGACCATGGGGAAGTGAGGCTGAGGACGGGAGTGGGTTTGTCACTGTCAGCTGCAGCTCAGAATGCACCAGACCTAAGGTGGTGCCCCTACTTCCACTAGAGCGAAGCTTGCTCCTCCAGCACCACTGACCCCTTAAGGGCAGGCCTGAAATGGGAACGGTGGTACCTTGGCTGGCCTGGTGAAGCTCTGGAGATGCTGGATGTGAAGCCTTCTGAATGGCAGTTCTGAGCAGGTCTCACATGTGGTGTTTTCCCACCCGCAGGCTCGCCTGTGGCTCTGGTCCTCGGCCTCCCCTCATTGACAGACGCCTTCCTGGGCTTCCCTCTGGAGGCAGAAGCATCTCCAGCTCTCAGGGAAGAGGCCAGGGGTGCGTTCCTGGCGTGTGCCGCGCTACTCCGGGCTGTGGTCCCTCGTGCAGGACAGCTCAACTCCTGCTGCCCAAAGCCGCCTGTGCTCCAAGCAGAACCATCTCCTGGGAGGGCAAAATACAGCACTGAATCGGAACAGCAAACACAGCAAGAGACATTGAGCCTGAGACACGCGGTGCCCCTGCAGACGTAAAGGAGAGCACGGCTAAGCCTCTGTTCTGCCCTCACCTTGGGGCCGGGCCCGTTGCCGAGCCAGCTCTGCTGATCCTCTTCTCTCTCTGCTGGCCTGTGGAGAGGGCGGCTGCCAAGATGGGAAGCTGGTGGCAGGGCTGGCTGGGCGCAGGTCACAGTGGTGCTGGAGCAGAACACACATCTGAGTGTTTAAACGATAGCTCCAAAGACAAAAAGCAAGTTAAAAGCGCTTTCCAAGTACGCTGCCCACACAACTTCCCCTGCTGGCTGCACTTGTAAAGTCACAACTGAAATACACTGAGGAACAACAAAGTGAGAGGAGAGTCAAGGGACAGAGCAAAACCAGGAACTAGACAGGAAAACCCATCTGGTACCTTCGTCAGGTACCAGGAATCACTGCATGGAATGTAAAACTTTAAACATGGGGTGTCCTTTATGTGGTCTGCAAACAAACCCTATGGCTGCAACTCTGCTCCAGTCACTAAGAGTTAACAAGCAGCAGCAGCTGGTAGAGAAAACAGCTTTTGCATGTCCAGAGAGGTGAGGGGAAAAAAGAGCCTTCCAAGAGCCAACTGTAATAGGGAGTGGGTTTTAAATAAGCTTCATCAGCTCTCATTCCTATTAGTAGTGATTTTACTAAGCCCTAGGAGAAGAAAGGCCCAGAACAAGCAAACCAAACAGCTTCACTAGTTGTTAGTTAGGACTGTAAGAATGTGAGAGCTGTGTTTGCATCACTTGGCTGGAACAGGAGCAAATCCCAGAGGACTGACTCTTCCCTGCACCCCCCGGATCTGCTCTTCAGGTCTACAGCAGCACCTTGGTACCTGCTCAGTGTTCTGGGGCAGCAGTAACAGCTTCAGCAGTGCCGGGACCCGGTGTTCTTTCCACATGGGAAGTACCAGACAATGAGGAACTGGAACACTCTGCACCACCCATCACTTTCTCAACACACCCTGCGGCCGAGCCTCAGGTATGTTCACACCTTACCCACCCTCTTCTTCACATCTACCCTCCTAGATTTGCAGTCTGTACTCTCTACTTCCTTCCCCAGGTTACACACTTGTGCTCCTCTCCCACCTGAGCTGATTCATACATCCTGGTTTCAACATCACTTCTATGTTCAAATCAAACATTTATATTGTGCAATTTCAGGGCCTTCTGTTTAGTTTTGAGCTTTCAGAACAATAGTTATTTTTCAGTGAGAGCCTCAGCACAGCCCAACATTTTAGCTGGGACCCAAGAGGCTTTGTTTAGGAAGATTTGACACGGGATGGTTACATGCCACAACAAGGACTTGCCACAGTCCTTGAACAACTGGATGTGACACAACAGATCAAGCTCTGGCTAGTTTAGTACCTGATGATGGAAGAGTGTCTCCTCTTCCAGCTGGATGCCACAAAACTCACAGGGAATGATAATGTCTTCCTCTGCCTGCACAGCTTGGGGCTGGGATGAGGAGAGAGACCCAAAGCCTTTGGACCCACCAGCACGCAGACCATCGTATTCCCATGGATTCGGAGAAGAACTTCTTTTACTGAACGAGGCAAAGGCACTTGCTGGGTTACAACCTGTCTGTATGCAAGGAACATGGCAAGATTAGCTCTCCTGCTGAGCACAGGTTGACTTGAAAAGCCATGCTCTGCAAAGACCCCTAGATCCAAGAAAGTACCAAACCTGGTGAAGAATCAGGTCCTCAGCAGGGTAGAGCTCCTCACAAAACTCACACGGCAACATGATGATCTCATCTGCAAAGGAACAGTTATACCCTCAACCATGGGGCAGTCTGATGCAGCTGGACTGACTTACCCTCAAAATCCCTAAGCAGCAGACCCCTGGCTCTAACACCAGGGCAGCAACTGGAGCAAACATTATGGAAACACTCTGGTCCCACTCGCTGAATTCCACATGAGCAAATTCACATCACTCAGAATGAGAACAATGTTTTGGGGTCAAAGATCTATCAAATAGTCTTGTAAAAAAGCCTATTACTGCCTTTAATAAACCCTTTAGTACTATTTCTTCTTTCAGCACAAGCTGGCACTTCAGGCCTCCCTCAAGTCCTCCCTTCATGTTTATCACCTACTCAGTTGTTATGAAGCTCCCGCCACATACCAAGGTCAGAGATTCACTACAGCTTTGATTTCTTCCTCCCCTGCTGTCTTGCTTTAGAGGGACTCTCAAAGAGGCTAATTCTGCATTTTAAGTCTCTGACATTCCCAGTCCAGGAATCCTCTCTTTCCTTCTCCCTCCCCTCAAACTTTAAGGGAACAACAGCGTTTATACTTACTTTTACTGATGTTTGACATGCTAGAAGGCACGAAAGAGTCACAGAAGGTATCCAACTCGTCTCTATCGTTACGATAGGCAGATGACACAGACTCTCTGGTGTAGCAGTTTTCCCAGAAGTCACTGGGAATTTCAGCTGCAGTGTTCTTGTGCTGATGATCCTCATTCTGGAGGCTGAGAGCCAAGGCGTAGTCTAAGTCAGGGTTCCACCCCTCGTCTAGTGCAGAATGGGCACTTTCACTTCTCCCCAACTGCTCCAGTTCATTCCCTTCAAAAGACGAGTTTGAGAGAACATTAAGCCAGCAACAAGCAGCACCCTCCTGGACACCAGAAGAGCTCAACCAGGAGGGTTTCACATGTGCACACTCAGAGTTCAGCACTCAAAGCCTGTATCAGATTCAGGAGGAAGGTGATGAACAGTCAACGTACTTCTGTTTGTAATAAGCCAAAAGGAGAAACAGAAGGAAGTTGTTCCTCTTACTCCAAAAGCTTGAACTTAAGCTTCTTGGGAGCCTTACAGAGTCGCTGAGGAACCTTCTGGGACCTACACTGTGAACAAGGTCCAACCCACAGCCTGTAGTCTCATCCCTTTTACAAGGCTGAAACACTTTTTTCAGTATCTCAAGGAGAAAACAAATTCCTTTTACTGACATGACCCTTGACAACAGTGGGGATTAAACACATCCAGAAGAAAACCATAATGTGGTTTCTGGTAGGAAAGCCCCACTGAAAAGGAAACCAGGCCCAAGGCTCAGCCGATGATGCCTAAGGACACGCTCAGTGCTCCTCACCCATGCTGGCCTATTTCAAGTCTCTCTGGTATTTCATTTGTACTGATTATGTGAGAATTTTAAATACAGCTCCCACATGCATAAAAATATCCCCTGTGAACACTCTTTAGCAGTTATTGTAAGCAGCCTACAGGCTACAGCTCCACAGATTATTCAGCTTTATTAGTCAAGCCCAGAAGTTATTTCTACAAGCTGAGCAAAGACTGTAAGTTAGGACTCTGCACTGTGAAACCCTCCACGTGGCCCACAGCAGAACATGAATTCAGCTCCTGGAAAAGCTGGGTCTGAAGTGTGATGCAAGTGGAGGGAAGAGATTAGAGGCTTAGGAAAGGGCAGAGGCATTGATAATCGTCTCAGTGATGGCCAAACAGGATGTTCCTGCTGACATGTGCTCTACTACACATGGGAACCCACGTCCAGCTCTTACCTACCCACAACTGAAGGAAAGAGCAGTGCAGCTGCTCAATGAAAATGGACAGAATTTGCAGTGAGCAAACAACTCCAACTTCATTTTTAAGCTAGACACCTAGAGACAAAAGAACAGGCAGTGAACTGGGCTTTCACCCCGGGTACCTCAGAGTCCTGCATCCAGCTGGCTTACACCTTTGTAGATCTATTCCCTGGCAGAACAGCCCCACAGTGCCTCTGGAGCTTCCATGATCCCCTGTTCTCACAGAACGCAATTACAAGACCTTACACTTGGATCAAGTGGCAAATGTCACATTAGAAGCCAGTTATTGCTCTTCTCTCCACCTTACCTCCCTTTTGCTTTCTTTTTACGGCTGAAATAGTTCTGCTAATGTCCCCAAGGGTTTTCTCTCCTACAGAGCTGCTATAAATGTGCTTTTCTGGGGCATTCTCCACAAGGGCCCAGGGTAGTTACCTGATCCGAGTTGCCTTCTGACATCTTGAAGGGCACGCAAAACTACAGCCTCATCCTCAAAGCGAGCCACTCCTCTCACTTGCTTCACCTCTTGCCCACAGACTCGAGGATGCTCTTGGAGATCTTTCACCATGATGTTACGACCGCATCCTCCACAAAGCTCAGTCCTGGCCCCACAGTAAACTTCATGGTCCAGCAGCTCCTTGAACGTAAGCTGTATATCACAGTACTGGCAGAGGGCAGGACGCAGAGGGCACGCTGACGCCTGGGAATAGAACAGAGGGATTATTTTTCACCTACAGAAGGCAGAGGTGAAGGGAGCTTCTCAGTTTGCTTAGGAGCTGAGTGCTCCATTGTTTCTTTAGCCAGCCCCAAAGCTAGGCTGAAGAACAGCCTGGAAAAAGATAGGACGTGAGAAATGGAAGAAAAATGTGTTGTGTAACCTGTGAAGTCATAAAGGTGCCAAGTGAAGCACTCCCAATACTCAGATGGGGTTTTGTTAACCTGTATAGCTTAGACAGCAGATTCACATTGTGCTTTTTGAAGTTACAATCCTGAACTTGTTACAGATACAGACTTGAAATCACATTTCATTTAGCACTGCTAAAAACATGTCAGTGCCTGTTCTGTTAAGGAAGAGATTTACAGCTCATTTGCTACTCAACAAGAATTGCTGGCCTATGTTCTTTACCCTACTGAGTGACAAGTAAGTGCTAAGTTGCCCTTCAAAAGGGGTTAAACATGGATTAAATACACGTCATAATTGCAGATGCTGCAATAATGCATCATCATTTGCTTTACAAACAAAACTAAAAGCACTACACACAAGCGTGCAGGATAAACTGCTTGCAAGGTTTAACTGGACTTATCCTTTTCTCCTCACAGGATTGCCTGTGACAGCAGCCAGCAGCATCCAGAACCTCAGAAATCCCACTGTGTCCTAGTCTAGTTCATTTTACATGATTTCATTTGATGAGTTATTAAAACTCCCATAATGAGTGCAGCAGAGTCAGAACAGTGTGATGTTGAAGGAATGGGAAAAGTCAAGTTGATGATGTTCTGTACTTCTGAATTAGCATTTTTCATCTTGACTGTTGATAAGGACAAAATCACCAACTATCACGGGTACCCCTTTGATAGGAAGACTTGAGCAGGTTCCACCACTTTCAGGCAGTTGCCAATCACCTTCTGTCAGAGGGTTTGAATTTAGAAAGCACAGGTCAATAAAATGGATTCCAACCACAGGTTGGAAGCCAGGTCTGGGCTCTAGAATCAGAGCTTGGAAACACCATAGAGTACCCCTCCAAGTGTCTAATAATATCAAGTCCACCAACCTCATGATCCTTCAGGAGACTGTTTTCTATCTTCATCCTGCACTTGCAGGTAACCTACAATAAACAAAACCTCGTTAGATTAATTGCCCCAGAAGTCAGCAATGTCAGAGGAGACACCCGTTTCTCACCTGCACGTGCTCGGACTCAATGTGGTTCTTCATTTCGGACTTCGGGATGGATTCGCTGCAGTAGCAGCATACTTCAAGATTTCTGCTACAGTGGATTTCATGGATGATGAAATTAACAGCAGGGATGTCCTTTTTGCTGTGAGAAAGTCACAGAGGTCACTTTGCAGAAAATACACTGATAATAATAGTCCCAGGCAGTTTTTCATAAGGAGAATAAAATCCTAAGAAAGCTTTCTATGAATTCATGGTTTAGAGAGATGGGTAACTAAAAAGAAAGGCAAGCCCAGCCAGGCCTCAGTGCTCCTTTATAGTGGGATATTAGCATGAAAAAGTCACAACTTTCACACCGCATGAAGATAAAATCAAAGTGGATTCATTTCCTTGTGTGAAAGGCAATTTTTGAATCATAAACAAGCCATTGCCAGGTTTAAGTGAATGAACTAATCTGGGAAGATAAAAAGTTTCTTCCTGAAATAACCTGGCTATGAGGCTGAACAGAGCTCTGCTTGGAGAATATGAATATCAGATCCTGTCAGGCCAGATCTGCTCAGTGAAGGAGCAGTAACTGCATTTACTCCATGGTCAAAGTTTCCCAACTCATTTCTAAGACACATATTTTCCTATCTTGAGGAGGATGCACGGCTTACAAACACAAAGGGTACAAAAAGAACCGAGGCACTGGGAGCTTTGTTCTTATTCCTGCCTCAAGCAGGGAAGCAGCATTTCCAGATGGATCTATCCTCTATCCTCTCCCCCCAAAGAAATCAGCCTTCAAAACACCATCATTAACTTTATAACCTATTCCTCAGTGCCTTCCGTATCACAAAGGAAGGTCATTACAAGCCTTCTGTAATGAACAAACGTTCCGTTCTCTCCCTTGTCAGATCCCAAGCAGCCAATGCCCTGGCAAAGCAACAAAGCGCAACAGCAGTGGCTCAGCTGCACAAAGTGGCTGCTTGCAAACCAACTCCCCCGATGCTGCAAGAAACTTGTTCGGTTTCTGGTATCTCTGAGGGAAAAAATAAGTGAGTTTCTATAGCTGCTTCTGTTCCAGATGCACTCCCGAGGTTTCAGCGTTATCAGTGAATGCATTACCGACATCGGAGCCGCTGCGGAGGGAACTGTTATCAAAGAGAAACAAGGCCACGGCGATATGTTCCTACTGACTCTATTTGTACATCAGCGCCTGAGCCGTGGGGCTGCCGAAGGAAAACTTGGATTCACAAATCCACATCTTCATTTCTATCCGAACGCTCTGGTTCGGATCCTGTGGTTGCTGTTCAATAAAGGCTGGGCACATCACAAGGCACAGTAAAGCCCAAACCCCCACCGTTTCCAGAGGATCATACGCTCACGGCTCGCCCGCCCGTCCCAGTGTCCCACAGCGCTTGGAGGGAGCCCACGGCGGCACGGAGCCGCCACCAGCGCTCGGTTTCGTTTCTTACCAGTTCCCGCAGAGCCGCGTTTCCGCCTCGGTAACCGCCGCGATGGCCATTTTGTGCCCGGGGGCCGCAGGCCAGGGCCCCCCTTCCCTCAGCCCCTCACGGCGGGCAGGGCGCTCCCGGGGCCCGGGCCGCGGGCTCCCTCCCCTCAGGCGAAGCGCGGGCTGGGGCTCCCCCGCCCTGGGCACGGCGGGGTGGGACTGGGACTGTGACTCGCACACCCGGCCCGGCCCCGCTCCGCTCCCTTCCCGCAGCTCCCCGGGCTCCCGACACCGGGCCCGGCCCCGCCCCGTGCTTCCAACCGGCCCCTTCACCCCCGCCCCGGGCCGGCCCGGCCGGCGGCTGCGCACTGCGGTTCTGCGCTCTCATCATGGCGGCGCGGGGCCATGTGCAGGACCCCAACGACCGGCGCCTGCGGCCCATCTACGGTACGGACCCCGCGAGCCCCCGGCCCGGCTCCCGGCCCTGCCGCCGCGGCATCGCGGTGCTGCCCCGACCCGTCCGGCGGCCCCTGGATGCGGCGCGGAGGGGCCCGGCCCGGTCCGGCGAGCGCTCGCTGGCTGCTCCGGCGGGCCCCGCCGCCCGCCCGCCTCTCCCGCTCCATCCCCGGCGCCGGGGCAGCGCGCTCGGGGGGTGGCGGGGAGCGCGGCCCCAGTCCCGGCTGCTCCCTCCGGAGGAGCCTCTTTTCCGCCGTGGGGGTGCGGGTCGGTCCCGGCTCCCACCCGGGGCTGGAAGGGGGAGTTCGGGGGCACCCGGGGTCCGTCCCCGCTGCGCGTCTTCCTGCGGGCAGCGGAGCTTCCTTCAAGGGGATCCCCATCCGGACACCCCCCCCCACGGGTCCGGGGTGATGCGCGGAGGGGCAGTACCCATGGGGAGGGGGGTTTCTGCGCCTCTTTCAGTCAATGCAGCTCTGGTCGGCGTTTGTTTCTTGCTGCGGAGAAGTTGGAAAAGGGTTAGTTCGTAAAAGGAGCAGGGGCAGTCGCGGGTACCTTAAAGTTGTGTTTTGAAGTGCTGTGGCACAGGTTAATTACGGTGTTATGGAAGTTAATTGGGAGACAAGAGCGAAGTAGTTAGAAGGTGGTCTTGTTAAGAAACCTCCTGTATTAAGCTTTCCCCAGTATTTCCAAGGGTATTACATGTAATTGGGGTTGCTTAAGAGACTGGAGGCAAGCTTGGCTCTGTGTATGCAAATATAGGGAAAGAGAGGAGAAAAAGACTTCCCCAGGCTACAGTGTCGTTTATTCTCTAGAACTGAGGATTGGACAGAGATATAGGAGGATGTTCTCAACTTCTTTCAACATTAGAAGAAAATAACTCTTCCTCTGAAGGTGGAGAGCTGCCCTCATTTGGGATGCTTCAGGAATGTCCTATGCTGTGAGAATATTGCGGTTATAGACTTGCGTTCGTGATGGTTCCAGTGAGGTGGAGGGGGATAGTTGTGTTTGGTTAAAAGAGTAAACGTGCAGCGGTCTTAAAATTCATCTAATCATGAGTGCAGGAGTGTGGTTTGTCTGTATGTAACAGATTTAAGAGTTTTCCTTAGTTTTCTGTACATGCCATTGTTAGTAACGTGATTCTTTGTGTTGTAACCTGTGTGACATCTTTAAGCTGCCTTAAAAGAAAAAACTTGGTGAACTCAACCGACATTAAAGCAGATGATGCTGAGATGTATTTCACTGTATTCCTTTCAGAGGCAGCTTTGAAAGAGCTTTCTGCTAGTTCTAGAAAGGATTATCTGCAGTGTAAGGTTGGCATCCAGGCTTTAGTGCTGCAGAACCCAAAACAAAGTGTGTGTCCTCAAGAGGGAAATACAAGACTTCACAGAAGTCACAACCTGGAGGTGTGCAGCGTGAGGCTGAAGGTCTGATTCTTGACTTAAAGCGGTGTTGTGGGTTTGCACCATGTGCGTGGTTGCTCAGGTTTCCTCGACAGCTATGTTTATCTTCCATCCTGTTCTCCCTTCACCTGGAGGTTCATTCACATGTTGCCTTTCCAGCCACTGAACATCTTCACCTCCAGACTTGCAACTAATGTAGGCTGAAGTTGCTTTCCCTTTCCCTTGAATTCCTTTGGAAGTTGCCAGTACTTTGGCTTCCAACAAACTTACTTGTTGTTAGCAAAATACAGTCTCTTTATTCTGCTGCAGTTTAGAGAAGTTTGTGGTTTATTTGATTTACCTTAGACGGCTGAAGTGGAGATGTTATCAGTGCAGTTGTTAAACAATCCAAGACAGGCAGTGCAGCGTGTGTGAGCATAATTTGTGTGTGAGCTGTGCAACACAGATCCTTAAATCACAAAGTCTCTGCTGGTGCATGAAGACATGACCAGAACCTTGTATTCCATGGGTTTGGACCCTTTTCCCTGAGAAATCCCTGCTTAAGTTTTGATGTTGAAGGTGATGCACAGGCTTTTTCAAGTTAAAACAGCCATCTAACCCATGGATAGTCACTGTCTTACAGCATCAAACTATATTTCATGCTGCAGCATTTTGTTTTGGTTGGTGTGGGCAGGCTGCCTTGTTTGAGGTTTTGTCTGCATGGTCTCAGGAGCCCAATTAGCTCCACATTAAATCTGCAGCACTTACTCGGCCGTGGAAGCAAATGTTGAAGCTGCTGGCTATAAATCTCATCAGTATAGATTCACACTTTGTGCCATATCCTAGGAATTACTAAGGTCACCTCGGTAAAAGAGTTTTTTTCATAATGAGAACTACAGACTTGATGAGAAAAAGATGTCAGTGTAATTTCAGTTAACTGGTGTTGGCTCTGTTCAGTTTGGTGGGGAGAGGCCAGGACGATGCGAGCAGACCCTTCCCTGTTGGCACCTCAGGTGCAGCTAAGCTTTTTCTGGTAGGTTTTGGTTAGGTTTTGAGGAAGGGGAGGCATATAGGGCTCATGTTCTAATCTAAAACTACTTGTACGGTGACGTGATGATGTGCTCAGTGGTGAACACTGAGCTGAATACAGGAGAAAATAGACTTGAGGCTGGGGTTTGGGGTTTCTGCAGCTGAAGCTTTACTTGACATTGGGATCTCCCCCAGGAAATAAAACCATTCTGGTGAAAGATAGTGATGCTCTGTTAGGGGACACATTGGCTCTGCCTGAGGTGTGAATCTTGTGGACAAGTAGGTTTACTCACTTAATGCTTTGATAGATGTTGAGTGCTTAGTTTCCAACCTGCTGCCTGTTAAAAGTCATTGAAAGTCTCCCAAAGGCACACCAAATGAATTCCAGCTTCGGCTGAAGCCAAGAGGCTCAGCATCATTGCTAGCAAAGAGCTGTTGCTGCAGAACCCATTCTATTATGTCTCTTTTGTTGTTGTAATGATCTGTGTGGAGTAATTACAAAAGCTTGTTTGTTTGACTGACTAAAACTGGTACAGCAGATGAATACTTCATCTACAAAGTGACATGTTTCCTGAATGTTAGGCTTAGTAGTAATTGTACAAGGGAAATGGGGTTTGCACTACTGGCCTGCAGCACATACTCCACAGTAAAATTGGAGGTAGCTTTCCAGAATGGTCTTTGTGTTCTGGTGTAATGCTGTGTATGTTCTTCTGCAGATTATCTGGACAATGGCAATAATAAAATGGCAATCCAGCAAGCAGATAAGCTGCTCAAAAAACACAAGGATCTTCACTGTGCAAAGGTAAGTGTGACTGTGGTGCAGACCTCCTTTGGTGAGCAGAGCTCTGAGGCGTGATGCTGTCCGGGATCTTCCAGAGACCAGCGTGTTTCCTGAGCCCTCAGGAACATCTGGGGCTGTTCTCCTCCACACCATACCATGTAGGCAGCTCTGGTCAGTTTTCAGTCTGCAGGCTGGGAGAGCTGAGTGGTGGCTGATGCCTTAGAGCAGCCTGCCTGTCTGTTAAAGAAATGGAAAGCCACACTATTGATACAGCTTGCATTTGGAAGTTTTCTTCAATGCCATATGGATTAGAAGCCTAATAAAACCTGAAGGTCTGGAGAAGTAATGAGGTGGTTGGGCAAAGCTTCTCCCCACCAGGAATGAGAGGGTTTTCACTGGTAACTGCCAACTGTGCTCCTAACAGCTGCCTCTCCCTTGTGTTGATAGGTTCTGAAGGCAATTGGCTTGCAGAGGACTGGCAAGCAGGATGAAGCGTATGCTCTGGCACAAGAAGTGGCAGCACTTGAGCCCACAGATGATAATTCCTTGCAGGCCCTCACCATCCTTTACCGGGAGATGCACAGACGTAAGCTTTCTCCTTTCCCTCTCTTAAAAATCAGAATTATTTATATGCTTCTAAAAGTATGTCACCCACAGTTTCATGGGAAACGTGCAAAGTCTGGGATTTGTGTTAGGATACTCGGGATTTAAAGGATGCCTGTTATAAATGCCTCTAAGGCTCCAGTGATGATATAGCAAAGAACCTTGTTTAGGCTTCTCATTAACACTACTGTGTACATAGTTCCTAAATGAATGACATGGTAATAACAATCCATCACTATCAGCCTGTGAGTTCACTTTTTAATGAAAGCCACTGGAATTTGTTGTCTGTATACGTAGCAGAGATAACAAATCACACAGGCTTTTTTTGAACCTTATGTACTGCTTATCTACAGCTCTAAACAGTTGTTTATGGCAGCTTCTTGTGGTTCTTGCTGGTGGTAGTAACCTTTGTAGTTGAATCGCTGGAGCAATGGCAATGGGGTGAAACAACTTCTTTAGAAATGGCTGTTGGATATCAGTCTGCAGTACAGCAGTTGCTCATGCTTTCCTAGCTTCTTTCTATGTGTGTAGGTATATGTAGAGTTGAAGCATCATTTCTTGAATAATGTGAAATGTTTCCTCTGTACGTGTGATTTCAATATAAAGATGTCAAAAGCCTTTTGGTGATTCTAAACTTGCATAAAGTTTAAGCTCGGATTTCTAACTTTTAGGTTTATAACTCAGAAAGGAAGTAGTGGGTGTCAGGCACTTCCACTTTCAGTCCTGCAAGAAAATTGTGATTAGATGGCTTATGTATGTGTGTTGAGGATATGTAAAATGTGTGAAAGACATTAGTTTTTGAATACTACGCTGAGATATGATTGTAGAAGAAAAACAACTCTGGAAGGATGAAAATGTCAAAGTTTTGTGTATTACAATACCATAAGAACTTAGTCATGACAGAGCTATTATTAAAATATACTATTAAAAAGTATTTTACTTGTTAAGAGTGCTAAAATAGGCAACTGGGAAATAACAGGATATGACTAA